CCTCCATCGGGGGCCGAGTGGCACCCGGTTGAGCTCATTCTCCCGAAAAACCCAAAGGTGGGCACCTTTTCTTCGCGTCGAAACACCAAAAGTGCACCACGCGGGGCAGAGCCGCACGCGGGACTGGAGATCCTGACGAGGGGATGGGGGGAGGAGGAGGAGGAGGAGGAAGGAGGAGGAGGAGGAGGGGGGGCTACCGGTCATCCGGCGGACCGCGCTGGACCAGTAAGCTGCCGGTCGAAGGCAACTGGTGAGTGTGTGCCATGAGTTCACAGCGCAGGAGTTTTTGGGGGCAGAGGAGGTGCGCGAGAGGCGGTGTTACTCCTGGAATGGGAGGTGCTGAAGAAAAACTTTTGCTGAAGAGGAGGGGGGCAAGGGTGTGTGTGGCGGGGGGGGGGGGGGGGGGGGTATGAAGACGACCACATGACGGCCCTGAGCTGTTATTATTATGCCATAAATCGCGTGGTGTATGTGTGATGTATGAGTCTAATAATTGATCCCATGAAATGTTTCCTCTTGCTCTTAAGCCGAGAAAAGCCGCCCTATTGCACGCAGACCGGTGGTCTCCATTGAAGCTGAGTGATGCTCACACTAAGAGAAATGGTCAAATCGCAGGCTCGAGGCTTTTATTATGGCTTCACTATTCCGAAAACTACATCTTTTGATTTTAGGACATTTGCTAATTTGGGGATCTGAATATGATTATAAATCAACGCTCTATGGGGCTGGATAAGGATTTTGGTTCAAATGTGGGCTTCTCTTGGGGATCATGGGAAACAAGTCTTGAAAATGATATTTTCCAAAAATTATAAATTTGTGACCCCTCCGATAAAGTCAATACACTGAAAAGCATTTTACCACAGACGCGGTTAGTTATTTTACAAATACAGTACGTATTGACCATTATGTATCCATGGTAACCTTTGGCAATAAAACCGACTGGAATCACTGATCATTGGGTTTAGTTTCTGCTGTGTTCGCTCAGCCTCAGCAACTGTTGCCTCCCATCAGACGCAGAGCTGCCCCTGTGTGCTCTTAGGCTCTGGCGCCATCCTCTGGTGGGATGCGGAATAGCAGCTATGCAAAGGCTTAAATAGTTAATTTGTCAACTTTTAATATTTCATGCGGGTGATGTAAGCGACAGTATTCGCATGCCATGAAACGCTTCATCCTTTTTTCCTTGCCTTCAAACGACCTATTTAGAGAAATCCGCCGTATAAATATGACAGTTTGCACTTTTCAAGTTGGGCTGCAAAAAGATTGCTTGAACGAAGTGCTGATAAATATATGTATTTCAAGAAACACAAACTATCATGATTAGTCATTCGTTAGATCCCAAATCAAGTTATTTAACAAATTTTATTACGCTGGTGTTAAATTACAGCAGTTTCAAATGTCATTATGTTGACCCTTTCGGAGGTATTTTGTGTGGCAACATATTAAATTAAGTAAATTGGGGTAATAAAAGTTCGTCACATGCAACTAGACACTTTTATCTGCAGTCTTCAACACACCAAACTAGTGATGGGCGAGATGCAAGGAGGAAGTTTGAGGATGCTGCGAGGTGCTGTTCAAGGTCCTGAACGCGCACATCACTTGATTCTCTCTCTGCACTATTTTACATTTATTTCATAAGCCACCAGATAACGCAACGACATCACATCATTGTTTATTCTACCCGGTGTTTCAGACCTCAGCGCTCTTACCCTTTTCTTCCTCTTCAGCAGATGACTTGTAAATCCAAATATGATGTCGGAGTCGACGAAGATCGTCCCCAGGTCTATGACGCTGGGGTTGGGCTTCCCAGCTCCGGGAGACCCCGGCGAGTTTGGCAAAGCCATGTGGGCTGCGAGTTAAGCCTAGAAATATTCCACTCCTCGCTGAAAACCTATTATGATTTGTATATCCATCTAATTCATTTCTCTCGTACCCTCCAAAAAAAAAAGATCCACAGGGTTGTTGTTGGGTTTTTTTCTTCTTTTTTAATCCGGACATCCAAGGCACTCGCGGTGAGCGCTCTGGGCACGTGCGTGCGTAAAATCACCTCTCAGGTTCCCAGTGGTCCGAGAAGACAACGGCGCATTAGGATCCATCCGACACGCACCCCGACTCGCGTCCAAGCGGGACACTTCCCTGAGACGTCCCGGGGCCGCTCACGCCTGATCTCTGAGCAGCTGCAGGTCTGAGAGCGGAGGAGCACCTTGTGCAAGTGCTGCTCTCCGTTCTCAAGCCCCCCTCTCGCTCTCTCTCTCTCTCTCGCTCTCGCTCTCTCTCGCTGACTCCCCCCTGTCAAACCGTGATGACCTGCTCTTCCTCCTGATTTGCTGGTTTCTCGTTGAAAGCCCTCACACGAAGATGTAGAACACAAACGACAGACAAATAACCCCTAACGACAGCTTCCCTGTAATAATCCTGTAATATTCATGTCAAGGACCAATAATGACCTCATCACGGCTTATGTCCTCTTGCTTGATGTCCCCTGCATGATGAACTACACGTTATGGTTATTAAGTTGCTTCATAAGGTTGTTTTTTCCACAACACGATCGCCAACGCTTGATTTGTTATCGAGGTGAACGAACCGTAGGAGGTTTACAATTAAAATAAAAGTGATTGGATATTTTATTGATTTTAATATACTTTATTGCAGAGTATATAAAAAAGAATCACTCCAAATATGCTTTAAAATAACCTGCCTCCACTAAACAAAGTGTTTTGTGACCTCTAACCTCGATTCTCTAATCGTTAATCTTACAGGTGCTTCACTCACAATGTGTTCCATTTCGCCTGTGAATGAAGTTTCAATAAGTGGACGTAATTATTGCATTTATTTATTAGTATTGATCTTTTTCAGGAGTTAAATATCAGACAGTAGCAGTAGGACGTAGATTCAGCAGCACCTTATTTTCATTACATTTCAATAACTTTCCTAAAATAGTTATCCCTCTCAATAGCTCAGATTACAGGTTATATTGATATGTCTGTTTCTGATGGTTCAGTGCCTATGACGTTATTTTATGAGGGTTAAGGCAGCTTATTTGCAGCTATTCATGTCAAATAATGAGTCTGGAGTCTCAAATTCATAATTAAAATAACCAGAGTAACTCGTGGCCATTCTGACAACTGAAGCCAGAACTGCGTGTGAATCAATGTCGTTCCAGGTTTGTGTGATTCAGGATTGCACTTCACACAATACTGGGGACTGGGTTTTTGAAAATGTTCAAAATGTCACCAGCAGAGGCAAATATCTTGATCTTTTAGTTCCAACATTTTGGTAAAGCTCCAAAAACACAACGTTTTTTTAAAAAACTACTCATAGTGTCCAATTCACTAAATCCTGCCTCCAAACCACAGTCATTTTTCACAGGTTGACTGTAAAGTTGGTGAATGTGAAGCCCCTCATTAACTGAAATGAGACGTGGAGTCAATTACATTTAGGGTGGATTTTGCCTTTAATCATTTCGACGAGGCTCACTTCAGTGAGCTGTCAAAAGAATGAGTTAGACTTCATGTTCAATGTCTGAGTTACAGGTCAGAGGGACAACATTAAACAGTTTGGCGGCCTTTTATATTTGACCTGATTTTTAATTTTTTTTTCTGCAGGTCAATTATGATTCATGTAAAATGAAGATTCTCCATGAAGATTGACATCCCACCACTTGGTGGATAAATAATAAATATCCTTGGGGTGAATACATACATTTTGATCCCAGCAAGTACCTCGCAATCCACGCGACTCATCACACACACACACACACACACACACTTTCTGTGAGAGGGGAGAGGCAGGTTTTGTCAGCAGACCGATAATTACAATCCATAGTAAAGATGAGTTACCACGTCCGCCACCCTGCCCTCCCCACTGGAGGAGGTCGCCCCCCCCCCCCCCCCCCCCCTCTCCCCTCCCCACGACCCCCGGTGGCCGCTGATGAAATTCCGAGGGATTCCCCTGGGAGTGCGTGTGCTAACATCTGCTGCCCTCTCGCTGTGGGCATCTCATTAACGGTGCTCCAATGTGTCTTCTCCCCATTTGCCCGTGAGACACTGAGTCTGCGGCGTCTCCGGTGCACGGACGGCCTTTGTGAGAAACGTTTAGCTAATATTGACAGTTCTCGGGGCGTGGAGGAGATCAAGGGGAGGAGAAGGAGAAGGGCCTGTCTGAAAGGAGACTTGGAATAATCGGTGTGCAGTGCATTCATGAATTATTGATGCGGTATAAAGCAGCCTGTGCATTGGGAAAAGGGCATTCTGGATTTTCTTGTGTCAGAGTTTGAGATTTTTAGGTCCGGTTCCCCACCAAACATAATAAAACAAAAGATCTGAATAGAACCACGAGTGTTGTCGGATGTAATTAAGGCATTCACAGTCCAAGAGAGCGCAGCTTTGGACTACGAAGTACTCTGATCAGGGGAGCAGAGGACAGAATCCAGGGAACTGTACTTAAATACCATTTTGATGCGCCTCTATTTCCATTTTATTCTCCACCACTTTTGTCTGACATCCTGTAAAGACTTAGGTTCAGATTACGACTTTTCAGACGTTTCCTCCAGTGATAGTGACATAAATAGTTGTTAATATAATACTTTGAAATATAGTTGTATTCTTAAATTAAAGGTCAAAGTGTTGCCTCGGGGATTAAAAGTAAATAAAGTACTTCAAATTAGCACAAACTAAAGCAGTTAGACGGAGCATAGTCAGTAGTAGGAACACCCCCCCCCCCCCCGAAGAATAATAAGGAACCATTTTAGTGAAATTTATACTTACACGTTTTTACTGCAGTCAGGTTTCGAATTCAAGTGGAATAAGTACCTTTGCTTAGTAAGAAATCTGAATAATTCTGTTGAACCTACATTGACCAAGAAATTCTGCTCTGGTTCAGGAAATTTGACGGGAAATGAGAGCATGTGCACAGATTTTGCAGTAAGTTTCAGTTTTTTCCCCCCTGGTAAAACACCATTTCCCGCTGACTGCCCTCAGGTTACCCCACAAGGACTCGACAGAAGCAAGTGATTCTTTATTGATTCGTTTTAATCAGTTCGCCTGAATAGTGACACCAGCACAGCGGCAAGAAGCAAGCGGCTGTTTCAAATTGGGCACCGCGTGCCCTCCTCCCCCCCCCCCCCCACAGCGGTTCCTGGGCCGCTGTTGGCGACGTGACTCGAGGGGCCACGGCGGAGAGAGACGTCGGGTAAACAGAGGAAATCACACGGCCTTCGTTTTTCTTTTTCACAATCGTTCAGGTAGTCGGCCTCCGGCGAGGTGCTCTCCTCGTTGAAGAACGTTTTCCCGAGCTGGTAGCATTTGTCTGACTGGTCAAGTGGTCCTAAACATTTCACAATTTTCTCAAAGAACTGTTGAACTGTTGAGAACCACTTAATCAGAGGGACCACAGGCTTCTTCGGGGAAAAGTCCGTCCTTTCAAACTCTTGATTCCACTAAAGCACAAAAAAAACAACAAAAAAAAACAGAGGCTAGAATTAGTTCCCGGGGAAGAAATCGCTCCCACACATCCAAGACCCTCCGAGTTACAGAAGAAATCTACGAGCCGTCTTTGCGGGAGTTCCTTACCTGGGGAAGGTGAACTCTGTCCCGGCGGTGGAGCTTCCCCGCTGTCCTCCGAAGACTGACTGAGTGACTTGCAGAGGTGACGTGCTTTTATATCCAGTTTCTGGGCTAGGTTCATACAAGCCTCTCATTCAGGCAGGAATGAGGCCCACGCCGGTCCGACCGGCTGAGCTGGGTTCCGCCAACGAGGAGCCGGACGAGCAGCCGCCCTCGGGACAGATAGCGAATACCGGCGGGGGGGGGGGGGGGGGGGGGGGGGGGGGGGAGGGGGAGGGAGTCTTTTGGCATTTTTAATCACAGCTTTGTCTTCTAGATTTGTCTCATTTCCGGCTGATTTCTCTCAGCAAATAGTCAGTGTGTGTGTGTGTGTGTGTGTGTGTGTGTGTGTGTGTGTGTGTGTGTGTGTGTGTGTGTGTGAGAGCCACGTTCAATGCGTTTCTCCTAAAGGCCGACTGCAATCACAACAAACGCGGTTTTAGTCACGACCATTTCTCAATGGGCACAGAGGGGGGGTCGTCTTCACCATTGGTTACATGCGCTATATTCACTCAGAGGGCCGTGTGTAATTGGTGGGGCCTCAGCCAGGAGGGTTGTGCATGGGAGCATCTCAAAGGCACCACGGGAGACAGTGTTATAAGAGAAAGGTTTATATTTGTGGCTGTTTTCCCCCCCCGAGAGAGACAAACAATCATTCTCACTGTCTCTCTCTCTCTCACACACACACACACACACACACACACACACACACACACACACACACACACACACACACACACACCTTTCTTGATATGTCAGTGGGACATTAACACATCACAGAAGACTCCTGAACATTATAGTGTAAAATACAAGATGATTTTATTTTACCTTTCAAAACCAAACAAGAGCGTCTGGTGTTCTAAATTGTTTACTCGTCGCACAATAAGTAATTTGTTTGTGATCTTGGACGCAAAGAACATAAATTGACATCTAAATGAATGACAACACGGCTGACGTCAACAGTCAAGTGTTAATTTGCCTTTTCCATTTCATTGAGAGATATGTGACTGATCAGAGCAACAAACAGGCTGGTTGAGTCTGGAAGGGGACTAAAGGTTTGTGTTGTACCTGTTTAAGCAACAGGAAATGTTCTGCCTTAAAGACAGTGGACAAGGCCTATAGTTGAACAACAGCACAGACAACACGACTAGATTAGTAACCGGAAACCTTCCTGCACTTCACTAGAAATAACCATAGAATAAAGTGCACCCTGTAGATTTAACAAATCCTGAATATATTGCTATTTTGTTTTACAAAGTGACGTAACTGTAGACAAGAGTTCTCGAACTCTTTTAGTGCACACAACAAAATTAGGAAATGGAAGGTTTCAGTGTTCTCGTGATAAAAACAGCATTGAGAAGTTCACCCTGAATCCCTGATTGTACGTTTACATTCAGATTCTACTGATAAAACAACCACACATCTACGCACACGCGGTGCGGTCCTCAAGCGTTCACCGCGCACTCAAAGTGGCGCTGACACAACGCTGCGCTGTCAACGCGGGATCGGAGGGAAACGCTGTAAGACGGGACGGCTTTCAGAAAGTGTGACCATTTAACACTCCCAGTAGGTCCCGGTCACTGGGCGGCAGGTATCGGCGCGCTGGACGGAGTGAGGGGGACGGCTCGGAGGAGGGAAGTGGATGCCGCAGGAGGAGGACGAGGATGAGGAAGAGGAGGATTTCTGATCGCGACGGCTCACAGTCCTTTCGCCGTTGCTGTGAACTCGATCGCTCCGCTCTTCCACGGAGACAGAAAGAGGACAGGATTAACAGGAAGCACTGGGGAGGGGAGAGACATTCCAGTGCTCCTGATTGCCATTGTGCACACACACACACACATCAACGGTCAGCCTGGTGTAGAGCAGGCCGCACGGGTTTAGCACTCACACGTGTTTGGTGGGCAGCCATTAAAAAAGGTGATTTTAAAACAGCGTTTTTTAAGAAAAACAAAGCGGCCGGAGGCATGCTCAGCTTAAAGATCATGGTTGCCTCTTGAAACGCGATTTACAGACTAAAAGCATAATCCATTAAACATCATAAAGTAACAAAATGTGAAATTTACAAGTAATTGATTTACATTGTCACGTAACACTGTTAAACTACAACCTGTAAATACTGATATTAGCAAAAAATAACTTTTTCAATCAAATAGTCAATTCACTTTTGTACAGAAACATATTTTTCAATTAATATTACGTTATGTTTCTCTTGCCCTTGATGCATTTGACTGAGTATCATGTATGTGTTATTTGAAAACACAGTATATATAGTACAAGAGCGTCTGAGCGATTGGCACTCGAGTCCTTTTCTGTGTTCAGCCACTAGCTACACGGATTTCCTCCAGGCTCCAGCTCATAATCGCCTGTGACTGGGTTTGTCGGGTGTAAAATGTGTGTTTCAGTCAAACCTCCCTCTGATACAAAGCATGCTGGGATACAAAAGCCACGGCACTGAGGAGGATAAGCGCTTTACAAAACGGACGGGAGCTTAACGGGCACATGCTCAACGTGGGGAAAGCACAAACTGGGAAAACACACGTTCACCACTCATTTACCTCATCATCATCATCCTCATCCTCATATTCATCATACTCATTAATCTCACCAAATACAGGCTGAAATCAAACAAAACAAAGATGTAATTGAGAGGCAATTAGAGGCAGGAAAACACCAGGTTGAGTGTCTAGTGTGGATATGGAGTCAAATCTGTCGACAGAAACAGAGACATCAAACAGCTACAGTAGAAAGAAGTGGTTACCTTGGTTTTTTTGCTCATGAGCTGCACTAAAAATGCCACCACGTCTTTTTTGCCAACAGCGTGGGCCTGTGACAGGTGGAGGATGAGAGAAACAACAAATGAACCAGACCGGGTTTCTCTCATGAACTTGGCAACATCTGTCCCGAGGGACCCACCAGTCGAAGGGGTGTCTGTCCATCGTAGCCGGGTTTATTCAGGTCGGCTCCAGCGAGTTTCCACATTTCGAGGCCCTCCAGGTCTCCGCTGGCCGCCAGGCTGCCACAGAGGAGTTACGGTATGAGGTTACCCCACAATCAGTATTCTCAACAATGAAAAAGGAAAAAGTGTTGTGTACAGGGACTCGAAACTGGGCAGCACATCAAGGGAAGGACTTGATAACGTTGGACATTGTTTTGCTTTCATTTGATCTCAATAGCAACACAAGCCGTGCCCGTCGAGCTTTACAACAAGCAGTGTTTTTGAAACTGTGCGTTATGTGGAGCCGGCCCGGCGTCTCGGGTAGATAAAACAGGGGAGAGGCAGTGTGTCGGCACATAGGAAGCTATGCAGCCGGGGAGCATTCCTACAGTTTGTGTAACAGTGGGACAACCGGTTGAGCCCGAGTCAACTATGTAGGATGGGTCACTGCAGCGACGGCTGAACAACGGGGCAATTTGTGCCCTTTGTACAATTGCTCAACGGCCTCGCTCACCTGCACAGTTCAGTTCCTGCCTCGTCCAACTCGTCTCTGGAGAGGTGCGCCCCGGTCTTCCTCAGCAGCTTCACCACCTCCTTGTGTCTGAAGTCATTGAGAGAACACGTGGCGAGTCACTAAGAGGAGCATTCAAACAGTTTGACTTCATGTCATCCGAGTATCCTGTGTAGACGGGACTGGTTTGGCGTGTTAGGACAAGTTCCTTATCCCCTGCGATCAACCACCCACGCAGCAGTCACCTGCAGTCACACTTGTGGTGACGGGAAACCAACAGCCACCGGAGAGTGGGTGTTATGAACGGTATATTATATACGGTGAATTAGCAGAGGTATGTAGGGCGCAACTATTAGAAGCATTTACAAGACTTCCTGGCGAGGAAGTCATTGTCTCTCCTTTGCGAAACTGGGAGCAGGGCAGGTTGGTCGGGCTGGTTCAGAGAACACTCCCCAGACTTGTTCCTTAACTTGCGCCCTGCTGGTCCTTATATGGCCATCGGCCTACGGAGCGCTGAGAAATATCACATTTGAATAGTCAGACGTCGTCCCGACAGCTCAAACTCAATGCTCCCGGCCTTCGTGTCCCTTCGGGCTGGAAGGGCAAAGCGAGCGAGACGTGTGTGTGTGTGTGTGTTTGTGCGTCGGAGGTTTCACAACGGGTGTGAGCGCCCCGAACGCATCCATCCATCCATCAATCACAAGAGGAAACAAGTCCACACTCGCAGCGCCAACCGTTAAAATAGGACAACAGCCGTTTGGCGCAGCTTCAACAACACATACAACGTCTTCACCCCGAGGCTCAACATGGGACTAAACATTAAGGGCGCCTTTTCTCTGATGCACACTGGCATTATAGCTGACAAATGACTTCTAAAAAACAGTCAGATGACAGTTAATTAGATTATAACCATTGCCTGGCCTCTGTACTCTCCTGCCCCCCCCCCCCCCCCACTGAAAAAACACTCATGGGCAAAGGAAGGGGGGTTTAAACGTTATTATTATTTCATAATAAAAGCAAAAACCCATCAGCGCCCACGGTTTGAGTCTCACCTGAAGCGCACGGCGTTGCTCAGGGGCGTGTCCCCATAACGATCTTTGGCGTAGACCGTGGCTCCGTGACTCAGGAGGTACTCCACCAGATTGAGGTGTCCCTCGCAGGCAGCGATATGTAGGGGTGTGCGTCCGTCGTAGTCACTCAGACACAAGTTCGTGCCCTGCCAAAGATAAACACCCACAGCGTACAGAGCTTCTCCTGGTGCTCCGGGTTGTGAGTAACAAATCTAAAGATACAATTGGCGGGAAGCCGAAGCCGACGATGAATTGATCCTTGACGAAGATCATATGTGACAGTTTTTCGTTGGCGCACACCGCTGCACCGGGTGAAATGATATTTGATAACAATTAACATGGTCGCTGTAGTTCACGATGAATGAAACTAAGTGCTACAGACAGTGTCGGATGACAATCGGGAAATTGTTTTTTTTTTTTAAGGCATGTGTCGACAAAAAATAAAGAATCGCTAGCCTTAAAATTAATGAACAATTCATTGAACTTCATTAAAAGAAATCTAAACTCCCCACGAGCAGGGAGAACAATCACCGTGTGGGTGTGACAATAGAACTCTTTTTATTTGTCCACACAGACTGGAGGCCTGTGTGTTGCAGAGTGACGGTTGCGCGTGGTTGCGATGGGGCAGTTGCTTACCATTTCCTTCAGGGCTTCGAAGGCCTCTATGTCGCCGATCTTAGCGGCGGCACATGCCAATGGGGGAGTCAGGGCATCGCGGATGGCTTCCAGCTCCTGCAGACACCACAGGTTTCATCCAAAATCTGCAAATTCTGAATAGGTTCAAATCAATGAAGTCTGCCTTTTGGAGGGGGGGGGGGGAATATAACGTCAACACTGCAAGCTTGTGTGATTCAGTGCTTTTTCCTCGAGTGAGGCGAACATGAAACATTCAGAAGGAGACTACTTACTCAGTCCTAACAACAAAGTCTAGCAAGTTCGATTTGTCCTTTCTGGAATTAAAATCTCTCTCTCTCTGAACCATCTAATGAGCATCAGTATTCACTTTCATTCACTCAATGTCATAAAGCATTTGGAGAATATTTCTCCATCCTCTTTGTCTCTCTTAACTTAACAGTCTTCCTCCTCAGCTCTCCGGGATCTTGTCTTAACTATCCGGGGTTCCCTTAGTTGTGTGTCTCTTAAGTCTGTGTTGTGAGGGTGCGTCACCTCCTTGCAGCTGATGCTCAGGGACTTGGCGATGACCTGGATGAATCGGCTGTCGCTCAGACACAGCTTGGCTCCGGCTAAGTCGGACACCATCTCGCCGCGCAGGTTCTGACCCATCAACTGGACAGAGTTGCACAGAAACAGAGACCTGAACTTCCCTTTTTCGTAATGGTTTATTATTTCTGAATGGTGATTATAAAAGAAAAAGAAAAGTAGAAGCCATATTTCTTTTGAAAGTAGAAACCAACCTTTTTCTTGGCTTCAAAACTTATATCTTTCTTGGCCAATACGTAAGAGAGCTTTGATAGGGCCGCCTCTGGAGTCATGTCTCCACCAGCTACCAGCCCTGCCTCCATCAACACCTGCGAAGTCAAAGGTATGCATTTATATATAAAGCATATATTTAATGTGAGTTACTCAGCTCTACAGTCTCTTAGTTTTCTACATGGGAAGATGCATTCACAAAATGCAGTAGAAATGGCTCAGGATTGACTGGCGGGCAACGCGACGTGCCTTGCCGGTGGCGTACGACGTAGACACGGTCCCCCTCAGGCACTGGGTGCAGTTCATGAGGATGACACCGGAGTCGGTGGCCTTCTTCAGCTCCTCCAACAGGTCGGGTCGGTTATCGGGGGCATTTCCGCTGCCGTAGGTCTCCAGGACTACGCCCTCCATGGGCGGCTGCAGGAAAGCCCTCACCTGGACACAGACAAAGCAAAAAGGATACACGTCACAAACTCCCACGATTTACGGCCAACTGGACTGGCTTCCCGTCTGCGTGTCATCAAATTGAGGAATTAGTATTCCGTGCTATTGTTCCTGCAGCACCTTTCACTCCAATGCTCGAGACCATTCACTCTCTTAAAAGCCCATCTGGTGCAGTCTAACGGTATCTCAGTCACCCGTTGGCTGGCACCGGGAGGCCCTAAACCACATCATTAGCCATAGCGTATGACTAGAACGGCAGATGACTGAAATGACAGAGAGGAGAGCGATTCATCTGAAGGCGTTCGCAAGCATGAAGTCACTTGGCAAGACCAAAGCCGTAACCATAAAACGGGAGGAGAAGGCAGCATTAAAAAAAAAAAGGTGCCGGTTCAGTCAGTGTTTTTCCTGGTGGGATAAGCACGAAGGTTTGACGCGTGTGACCAAGGAAGCGCTCGTACAGCGGAGACAGTAGGTACACAAGAGCGTGGTGCACAATCAAAACGGGGCCTCATAAAAAGGCAGTTAGAGGCAGTGAGAAAGTCTTGATAGCCGCGCTGGGCAGAGTGAGCAGATTGAGACAGTAAAGTCAGCCTCTGCCGGGGGGGGTTACAGTATCTACGCCAATCCTCCCTCTTTACAGGGCGATTGGACGTGGCCCATAACTCCTGCTCATCTTTCTCTGGGCTGAGCCTCGATGGCAGTTTACACGACGGGGAAGGTAACGGAAGGCGGGTAATAGCGCGGTTAAATTAAAGTTAACTATATTTCATTGCAGACAGACAAAACAGTAGTTTTGAACAGCCGGTTATCTTTGAAGAGCATATCTTTAATTATATTTTAATACATTGCGGAGGAAAACTTGAAATTCGCACCAAGCTGGTGTCATGATGTCATCTTTTTAAATATATAATTTAATTAAATACATTGGATTAACCAAAAAATAATGAAAAGACATCAGATTATACTCGTGAAATAGAGGGATTTTTTGTTTTATGTAAATACTTATTCAAAGCAGGTATGAAGTCATCTGTAATGTGATTATTTTGTGTACTGTTATGACAAAAACCCTCAAACTATGCTGAAGCTGAACGATTCCCCAAAGAGAACACATATCGATCACTCTCCGGCGTGTGTCGCATCAACCAAAGACGACGTGCACATGAAACGGGGCGTAACGGAGACGGGGTGGACCGGTTCCGGCCCCCGAGCCACTTACAGTAGCAGCGGTGATTCCGGGGAACAGCCTGAGCAGCCCCACGTTCCTATTCAGCTCGGTGCTGACATGAAACTTTGCTGTGGTGTTTGCCCTCCACACCGTATCCCAGTTGACTAAAAAGGACGGGGAAATAGAAAGTAGGTTAAAAGTGGAGAAATGCAAAATGTTGGTTTTCCACGTGGCACCGCCGGCTCACTTGAAATGTCCACCTCGGCGACGGCCAGAGGAGCCAGGTTGGGAGAGGAGAAGGCGTTAAAACTCCCAGCGTCCACCTTGGTCACACGGTTCCCTCTGTAGAGTTTGTTGTAGAAGTACAAGCACACCTGAATGGGGGGGGGAGGGACGGGAGGGGGGACGATACGTTTACTGCACACACATTTGTTCCTTTGTGAAGACAAAACCCTGCTAACGCAGCAGGACACATGCATGAGGACCAAGTGTCCTAAGTGTGACTCTGAACCCTAAATCTCTCCTGTAGGCCGTGTGTGTGTGTGTGTGTGTGTGTGTGCGTGTGTGTGCGTGTGTGTGTGTGTGTGGAGCTCTGGTTTGATTCCTGATGGGCAGGTTGCACGGGAGCCCCTATGAATGTGTGATATCAGTGTCCCTTCCTGTTCCACAATACGTTGTTCGCTATTGCGAAACACTCCAGAGAGCACAGGGTGAGAATACTCTCCTCTCTGAGTACATTTATGTCCCTCCTCCCTTCCCTCACCTCAGGAATGACAAACTGGCCTGCGATCAGCAGCGCCCCCAGCAGGTTGTCTCTGCCGTCGTTCCTCATCTCATAGATCGGCACCTGAAGACAGAGCGGGTCTCGTCTCAAGGAGAGCAGAGAATGTTTGAAAAGGCGGCGGGCACAATTTGTTCTTTTTTATTTTTTTGGTCTCTTAGACCAATTTCACACAGCAGCACTTACCTGCGACCCGGTGAGGATGATTGGTTTGCCCAAATGTTCACACATGAAGGACAGGGCCGAGGCGGTGTACGCCATAGTGTCTGTGCCGTGCAGGATCACAAAACCGTCATAGTTTTCGTAGTTTTTCTGGAGAAAAAAAAATATGACCAAATATTTGCGCATCGTTTTAGATTGCGACATCTATTTTTTTTTTACAATGTTAAGTGATTGTATGAGCAGTATGACTGTTAGAAGATTGATTGCTTTCTAAAAGCCTAAATCATTCGGTGTTTAATAAGAAATGGAGGCAATGAAGTCAATGAAATGGATCCAGCAGAAAGTACCTCAATGTCCTTTCCAATTCTACCCCAGTCATCTGTGGACATATTGGAGGAATCCAGCAAAGGGTTGTACTCTATAACAGTGTACACTATCCTCTTATTGTCTTTATTCAGCCTGCAAGAGAGAGACGTTCAGAAGTGCCGTCATCATACACACACACACATTTAAATGGGACCAACAGCCCAAAATAAATCAATGTTCTTAGTCTTTGCAGGCAGAAAACGTTGACTAAAAACACACCAAGGACACACGGGTAAACGACTGCTTATTAGTCCTCATCGTGCTCGCTAAACAGAGTTGGATTAAGTTCTGGTTAGAACTGAGACGTGGGTTTGAAGAAGGATGGGGGAACGCTAAAGAACCAAGCTGACTTTATGAAGCGAGACCAAGTCTATTTAGCCGGGCCTTCTGTCTCAGCGGCAGGAAGCCAAAACCTGTTTGAGGCTCACACAGAGAGTTGTTAAAAGTGTCAAAGGGAGGGGCATGTTTGCACACTGTTCGAGAGAGCAGCACTTTGTTGTTTTGCGATTTTCCCTTTTCAAAAATGTTCCTCACCACGGTGCATGGCAGACACAGGCCTCGCTGGGGGACATTCGGTGGCGGATTTGACATTCGGGTTGTTTGGTGAGCCATCTCAGGTCAGGGCGAAAGTCCGTGTTTCTCTTTTTCTTCCGGTCACGAGGCGGGGGGCCGCTCATATATTCATGCTGCCTGCATGCGAGTTTAACTCCACCTGCGACACTAAAGCAGCGTGACCGGCTGAAGGGCCATGGCGAGATTTTCCTTTTTTAATCTCCCTTTTAAAAGAAACCGGGGGCTACACATTAACCCCACCCCTAGGAGCTGAATGGACCAGCGGGGAGGTTCACCCAACCAGGGGTCCTGCGGACGCTCTTCTAATTAGCCTCGAGTCCACGCTCAACCCTCGAACATGTGTTGTTGATAATCTTGGGGCCAAAGTGCCATAAGAAAACACTATTTAAATTTGCCAATTATTGGTCTGGCTGTGCACCCCAAGGTGCAGCAAAGCTACCCATTAGCATACCCGTGCTAAGATGCCTCACAGCTTAAGAATAATGAATATCTGTGTGTTTGCGTGCGTGTGGCTGATTGGGGGCTTAAGAAGTCGAACGGGGGGGGGGCAAAGAGCCATGTGGCGCTGCCTCCCAAAATCACATGAATAAAGCTTTTCAATAAATCAATAAACTAATTCCCTCCTTCAACCGAGGCTGTGACTGCATACTACCAACAGGATTAGACTTGCATATGAGCTTACTTTCTAACACTATTACAAGTGTGGGACGACCAAATATTAAAAAGTGAATCGTTCTTCACTAAAAAAATAAAAAAATGGATTGAGCAGAAGCTTTTTTTTTAACGTTATTCAAATGAACATTTAAGACATTTACCGGGCGGCTAGTGACCAAACAGGAAGCTCCTGGTTGGTTGCAGAAGGTGTTCAGGCAGTCAAATACTTCTTATAAGCCCCACAAACGGACATATGTCACCGCCGCTCTACGTAGGAACGCCTGATCTCTGCCGCTCAGCAGTAATCAACATGAAGGAAGTATGGAAATGAGTGAGTGAGGGGATGTTACTGAAGGGGGGGGGGGGGGAGCTCCGCTATGGCTGACATTTAAGACCATTAGGAGGCCGTTGATTGCTGAGAGCGGGGGGGACGGGGGACCTGACACAACGTGCGCCGGAGATCAAGACGACGCGGATTAAACAAACCAGAATAGAGTAGATTAGCTTTGCTTTGGCTAGCGGGCCGACAGCATCAGATGGGACACACCACTTTGAAATCAGCAGGCTTGTTGGGGACGGAAGCGATATTGGCAAGCAAAGAGTAGGAGGCATATTAATACTTCAGGCAATGCACAGCTCCGTGCTCATGTGTCCTTCCTGGTATTTAAGGCCGTGTGCCCAAGCACACACACACATAGACGTTTGGTCTTAAAGGACTGCGGAGACATCCAAGCACAAGAAAGGCGCACACAGACACACAATGCAACCAGTGCTACAGCACCCGTGAGATAGATGGTCAGTTCCCCTGTGGTTTGTGGTCTTCATTGGTCTGCGAATACATTGCATTAAGTTTAACTTTTTTTTTCAAAATAAGATAGAAAAATAGGTATGTACAATTTCAGAATGTACAAATGAAGAATACCTGCATTTGAATATTTGAATTTTCGTACATTATATAAAAAAGCCCTTGAGCAGATGAGATCACGCATGCTAATCAGAACACGTGTGCAAAGAGCACAACATGGATTATTCTGGGGTGGCTTACGGCAGGACCAGGCTGTTCTCCGATCCGTAGTACTGATACAGGCCGGTCTGCTGGGCGTACAGCTCGTCGTGGAGGATGGGCAACTTGCGCAGGCCTTTCACAAAGGCGTTGGCCTTTGGGGCGAGCACTGTAGGTGAAAAAAATGTGTTAAAAAGGGTTTACTGTTAATCGGTGGCAGTTTAGGAAAACTGCACAAGGAGGAAATTGTAAATCAACCCAACACCAAACATCAGTCTCATACTGAACCCTAGTGGCAGTCGGAGGGAGAAGCAGGGGAAAGGCCTGGAAAGTTATGATTGTTAAAAGTTATTCATTAGAGCTACCGTCAAAAATCTAGACAGGATGACTTGACGAGTGTAACAACACACGGGAAATTATCCGGCTTTAAAATGTTTCTGGGGCGAATCAGTGGAGGTAAACAGATACCGTAGTCTGGGGAACTTTATTATTTTACAGGAGGTTTTTTCCGAGCTCCTTCTGAGGGGAGGCCAACAGTCTTTGAGAGACATGAGGCACGTGTGTGTTTATAAACCTGAAATGCACGCCTTGGATGAAGAGGTCTCGCTCCAGTTCTCTTGTACCCAAAAGCAGATGGGACCTTTGGATGTTAGGCTACTTGCAGCAGCCTCACCAAGGGTTCCAGATGTTTCCCAATCCCGTATGTCAACATGACGAGGTGGTCATTGAGAGAATATGCCACCACAGCGTGTCCACCAGTGCCTTCAGAACCAACCAGTCCCGCAATAAGACGGTTCATCACTGAGAGGATGATCCAGTTTACGATGTTGGATTCGAGATGCAAGCGGGACAGTTGGCTCGTGTGTGATCCAACCGGCTTGAACGATCCATTGTGGGATGCACTCGCGCGCGGTTGACGTCACGCAGCGCTTAACTCAAACTTTAAAGAGAACAACGTGCAACGTGCTATCTGCTGTGCTAACGAGCCGCCCCGCCGTAGTCCGCTGCAGGGGGGCGCAGGGTACCGGGGGGGGCACGGGGAAGGGTGGAGGGGGGGGTAGTATTCGTGACGTGCAGGTAGCCGCTAACCGTTATCATGAAGCGTCATCCCGATGGTCCCTCCGGTGTTAATCACCAGCACTCTCGCCTCGTCGGAGGACGGGGAAGCCACCGGCTCCGCGGACTCGAACGAGTTGCAGCCCGACGACAGCTTTCTCCTCCGGCGCGAGTACGGCGGGACGTTCCGCGGGGGACTCGCGTCGGTCCCTTCCGTCAGCTCCAGCGACGGCATGGACAAAGCGCGCGCGAGGGACGTCAGGTCGTTGCAGCTGGCGCTGGAGTCCGCCATGTCGGCGTGGGGAAGTGGCGCTCCGGTGCTTCTGGCCCTTTAAAAAAAAAAGAGAGAGAAAAGAAAAGAAAAACCCGCTTGTTGCGACGGTTAAAACGCCGCCAACGTGCGTGGTCCTCACGAGCGCGCCAAGACGGCTCCGGTTCCCCCTGCGGGGCGGGCGGGCCCAGCTGAAGCCGATTCCATCGGTACCGCGCGAAGACCTGGAGGCGGGACCGTGGTTTGGACTGTATCGCGGGGGTTTAGACCAGGTTACTTTTCTAGGACCCCCTTGTCAGCCGTTGTGACCTTGACGCTCTGATGGACAGTGTCCACTCTGACGTCATGGATGTGGGTGAGGCGTCAAGGACAGCAAACATGACGGACAGTTAGTGTCACACGCAGCATTACGTAACGTTGTTTTTTAAACGTAGTTATATATTAGAAGGTCATGGCAACTCAATGTCTCTTAATTCAGGTCATTATACACTATTTCATACATATGTTATATTCTACACACTGAGAAGCATCTCTTTCCAGTCATCATTTCCCTAGTTTTTTTTGTAAATAGATAGCAATATCCAAAGCAATTTTGAAACTCCATAAACTATGAAACGTTATAAAGTGTAAATAAAAAGGTATATGAAGTTATGAAATTATTACTAATACATTATCATTGATTACATTTGAATGCTGATATTTTTGTACTCCTTTCAATACAGAAACTAAGTATTTGTATTTGGCAATAATCCCCCTTTACCGTTATATATAATATAAATATGTTTTTTTTCCATTCAACTTCAGTGTAGGTCTCCCAGTTTCCCACATCTGTCACACTGACATACACTATGTGGCACGTGTTGTTTATGTGTGTTGAGTCGAGGTGTATAGTAAACATAATTGTGTTTCTTCTGGTCTTCGGTGCCAATCCGGCCTGACTCAGCAGTTTGTGTCTCTTTTTCTCTGCATACTCATGTACCTTCGTCTTTCTGTCCACTATCTATACAAAAGGCCAATGATGATGATGATGATTTGATGACTAGATTTGACATTTCACCGTAATCCTTAACAATAAAAATACCAGTCAGGCACTGTGGAGGAATGGTATTTCATTGGTTTGTTTCATATGGGTTTAACAACAGATGACATTTACAAGCCACAGTAGATGATTGTTAAAACAGACAAATCAAAATGCACAATATGATTTGTCCATGAAACTGAGTGAATTTATGAAGCCTGCCATGGCCACCAGGAGGTGGTGTTATCCTTCACACGCATAGATTCACTCTAATCAGATGACATTAGATATTGAAACATAACCAATGCCACAATCAATAATGGTATGTCATTAAAAATAGTTTCATATTTTATGTATTTACTTATAACAACCCCCAGATACGTCAGTAACGCCTCAAGCGGGCACAGTTTAAAACAAAATCCTCTCGTTACATTCGTTAACTAATGACCAGATTCATACTGTGCATACATATAGCAAATTACATATACCATACTACATGTAGAATATTACATCAATTCCATATGACTGTTTGTTCCATTGTTCATGCTCGGTATAGTGAGTAGTACGCGGCGGCAGCCGTTAGAAGAGCTGAATGAAGTCGACGGGAGGAAGTTGCGGTTAATGCAGCTCCACACCTTTCCGGTGTAGCAGCACTGCGACCAGCTCGACTTAAAGGAGAAAGACGAGAGCTGGGTGTATTTATCCAGACAGGAGGGGGAGATAGGAGGTAAACCGCTTTTATTTCAGTGTTTAACACCTGGGTGGGGGGTGTCGGAGTCAAACGTGTAGTTTCTGTTCCATATATTTTGTATCCGGATATTATTAGCTTGCGACAGCTAAGTACCGTTATCTAGTTAGCCGTTGGCTAGCTGGCTGAGCTACAGGCTAGCTAATGTTAGCTTGCTAGCCCCTCTTTAGCAGCCATGAGCGAGACCCTGCTAATTTGGCATGCCTGACCCTCCTCCTAAATCTCTCTCTTTTTCTTCTAGGGAGATAAGAAGTGGAGTTGCGTGAGTGGATACACGTGTCGCTGAGTCACCGAGGATTTCCTTCCAAGACCACAGCAGCGGGGCGAAGTTACCCCGGCGCGACGCTTTATGGACTAGCCGCCGAAAGCTGCTTTTTCCTCCCCCGGTAGCGGCGAAGAGAACAAGGGCGCACCCGATGTGGAGGACCGGACGCCAGAAGGAACTCACAAGTACCGCGGCCTTTTCGGGGCCTTTCCGACCTACGGCGTCTGCTCTCTGCACGTTTTAATCGCCTCGGCCTGTCTTGGTCCCACGGCTTTAGGTTGATTTTTTTTTTTTTGGCAACAAAATGAACGTCCAGCAACAGCTGGTGCCAAGTTCTTAGTCGAACCATGCCGTGTTGTGTGTAGGGCCTTCAAACCGTCTTATACTTTGACCGTAACTTCACTGTAGGCACGAGTAAAAAGCCAAACTTGACTTTTCGATTCTCCCTCAAATGCTCTTCGCTGAGACATGTTTCCAGAAGTAAGCCCATAAGCGGAAGCTATAAGAAAAAAGTGAATAATCATCAGCAACGGTATCATCTCTCTTCCCCCCCCGGTTAGGATCGAAGTATTTATGCACCAGAGTTCAAAATGGGGAAAGTGCTGTCTAAAATATTCGGCAACAAGGAGATGAGAATATTAATGCTCGGACTTGATGCTGCGGGAAAGACGACGATCCTTTACAAACTGAAACTCGGACAGTCCGTCACCACCATCCCCACGGTCGGCTTCAACGTGGAGACCGTCACCTACAAAAACGTCAAGTTCAACGTCTGGGACGTCGGGGGGCAGGATAAGATTCGCCCCCTGTGGCGACACTACTACACGGGCACCCAGGGGTTAATTTTCGTGGTGGATTGCGCGGACAGGGATCGCATCGACGAGGCGAGGCAGGAACTCCACCGCATCATCAACGACCGGGAGATGCGCGATGCCATCATCTTGATATTCGCCAATAAGCAAGACCTCCCGGACGCCATGAAGCCGCACGAGATCCAGGAGAAGCTCGGCCTGACCCGCATCAGGGATCGGAATTGGTATGTTCAGCCCTCCTGTGCGACCACGGGCGATGGACTCTACGAGGGCTTGACGTGGCTAACCTCGAATTACAAGTCTTAATGATTTGAGTGCTGACTGTTTTAGGTCAAAACTATAATAACCGTTGCAAGTAACAGATAACTTCTCGAAAGGAACATGGTTAAGAAGTTGATTTATCTCCCGTTTATTTTGAATACTACGTTGCCCCCCCCACGACTAATTTATCTTTAACTTGGTTTGCTGGCCTAAAGTTTGCTTGTGCTCTGTAGCAGGCCTGTTTCACGTTCATTACCTTGGGTTTAGCTTGATGAATAATTGGCCCTAATGTTAAAGCCAGCAAGAACACCGCCTTTGCCTATTCTTTGCCCTGTTTGTATGATTTCTTTTTTTTTCTCCTTCCTGATGAAGCTTTTGTCTCGATTCTTAGACTAAAACTTTATTCAAGGTTCTTCAGTCTCTGTTGCATTGAACTTGGATCTTTTTTATTTTTCATGAGGTGAGCTCTTTAATGTCACAGTATACCTGAAGGACTTTGACATCTGTTTTGAACGCAGTACTGTGATGAAATATATTTCTTAATGATATTGAATGCTGCAAGGGGAAAACAAAAAATAAACACCGTTACTTACAATTCAGTGTCATCCGTCTTAACATCAGAGAAACAAAAAAAAAAGCTACTTGAGACACGTTTTGATACCCATCTGCATTCCTCTTGGTGGGGTATATAATTTACCAATTGACCTATTCTGTGTCACTTCTTGATACTTAATTGTGCTGAATCAAAAGTTTAAGGCCTCCAGTAACTCTTAAACATGCTTGTTGGGATGCATTTTTGATTTTTGGGTAACTCGTAAGTTGACTCAATCTTTCCAAAGGAATGTCATTCAGCTCTGCGCTCTCTAAATCTGATACCACAGTTGATTAGTGTCAGTATTGGGACATTATATGATAGCCTATATCTGTAGCATGAGTACGCAAGTACAGTAACCCTACATCAGCCCATCTGTCGTGCAGTCAGAGGGAGCTGCTCACTGGGGGGGGGGGGGGGGGGGCACGGTGAAGACACCCTGGGGTGCAGCTCTTACTCTCATTTTGACTGGGGGGAACCATGTACAGAACAGTGTCATTGTAATGTCTTATTAAAAAAGTGATTTTAAATCCGTTATGTCTGTCTGTTTGTTTTTGTCCAAAGAGTAAAGGAACTTCAAGCACCGCGAGTGATCAAACCTTTTTTAGGACTGCCGAAGGTTTTATTAATGAAAGCGAATATATGAACAGCGCTTCAAGAATGCTCCTTGTTAAAAGTAGACATCTGACTTGTTAAGTCTTTGGTTTAGTGCCAATAAGCGGTTGGCCCAAGTTCACTCGCTACTAACTGGGAAGGGGCACAAAACAGGAAGTCCGACTGCTGGTCTTTTGGACGCAACAACAGAACCGCACGATGGTTGGCGGGGTGGAGGCTCGACACAGCCGACTTGTTTTTGAATATTGCCTTTTGGTTGCGAGGCACAGCTGAGTGGATGCTGAGCTGTCGGCTGTAACTTCCTGATTTTTGTTTTTGATTGGAACAGGCATTAAAAAAAAAAAGTCATTCAGTGGGAACGATGTGTGTCCAAGTTGCCTTAATTGCAGAGCTGGTGTTTGAGAAATGTAAACAGGATGAACATGTGAGTTAGCGATGAGCAGATGCCGGTGGCTAATGAGAGCATTTATTGCGGCGTTTTAAACATGGGAGCCACTCGCAACTATTTGTGGCCTTCCCTCCTCCTAACCAGGAGCATAATGTGTGTGCGATGTTAGGAACACAAGGCCCACGTCCTTTGGTCTATGTATTTATCCCCTTCTTGACGAAAATGCCGACCTCATTTCATTGCTAGTGTTAAATAATCATTCCATTTTAGGTGTTTTCATAAAAGTTCAAAGCTTAACTTGTTAACCTGTAAAATGTTTAGCTCAAAAGCTGATCAAGTCACTTCAAAGAAAGGACAAATGGTGTTCATGTCTACAGAAGATTGGTCATTATTACTTCCCCTGCTTTTTTACACCCAGTGTTTAACATCCGCACAAAAACGCTGCTGAAAAAGCACAGAGTCTGCGATAACTTTTCGTATTTGCATTTAGAGGAAGAGGATGTGCAGTCAGTTGGGCGCTGTAACCTACACAGGTTTGCGTCTACCAGCGATTGGTTGTTTGATTATGGCGGCTGGCAGCCGCTGTGTGGAGAAGCTGGTGCTCAGCAACTTGCTGTCGGGGCCTCAGGATGTTTGCTTTAGCACCACAGAGGTTTCCGTCACACGGGTCAGGTGACACAGACAGGAAGCTACGATGTTCCGCACAACTCACAGCCGTGATTTAAATACTTCCCCATTAGAATAAAGGCTGTGCAATCAAAATAATCTGCAACCAAAACCGCGGGTCCAGAAAGTATCCGAGCTTCTAAAGCTATTTGCAAATACGTCTCGGGCCTCCGTTAGATGCCGGTGGCAGTTTAATTGGGCTGTAATGGTCGCTGTGGTTCCCGCCACTTCATTACAACCATATGATCCTCACGGCTTTATTGGTAACACTGGGGGCCCCCTGGGGCCAAGACAGGGACTGTAAGCAAGGCTTCATGACCTCCCCTGATGTGAAGATGAGACTTCCGGGCCCTTATGGCGGCTCCCTCTGTGCTCGGCTGGAATCCCAGACACCTTCTGAGAGGAACGCTCAACTGTCAGATTGGTACGGGTCGATTCAAAGTGTGCCCCCCCCCCCCCCCCCGCGGGGTAACATTTGCGCAGGGAGCGCTATTGCAACGCGCCTTTTTGACTGTGGCTTTGTGGGTCGGCCTCCGGTTCGGCAGACGCAGCCCAACACCTACTTTAAGCCACAGCTCACAAGGGGCAGTTCAATGGCTGCTCATCCTGGAGGACACTGAAACATTCGTCACGTTCTCCGCGCCTCCAGCAGCCTTTTCCCCTGAGCCGTTGCGTCATGAAGTGTAAAATAAATCCGGAAGTGGCGTAAAGATGTTTCCTGCTGAGGTCTGCACCCTTGAACGCATGCAAACTCCTGGTTGCCTTTTACACATGTTTTCTTTTTGTTGTTGATATCGTAGGAGGTACTTGAGTTGGTTTGATTGCAGGTGAGTGGGTGCAGTTTTTTTTTTTTTCTTTGGAAACAATCAAAGCAAGCTATGCTGTGGTATAGGCCAGCGGAATGAGGGGGAAAAGTCCAAGGTGCACTCTGGGCTTTGGTCCGACGCACATTCCATTCATATCTGCAACTGAAGGTTACATGCTGTGGTGAAATGACAAATCCAGAGAATTCCGGATGGTATAATGAGTATACGAAGTGCTCGCGGTCCACCCGACAGAACCAATTTGTTTTTGTAAATGGGTAAATGAAATATTCACACAAGCAAGAACTAAATTATTTAAGCCACTAACCATACAGGCTTGTTTGCAGAGTCTTACTGGCCCATGTTCATCATGTTTTATCCACTTAAAAACGTCACTTTTTTTTAAGCTTCCGGCCTTCTATTTATATTCCTTTATGTGAAAAGTGGTCCACATGGCTCCTCTTGAGAATTCCGCCAGCTGTGTGAGTGTGAACCAGTTTTTCTTTCTGCTGTGTTTTCCCAGCTGTAACACACACAGAGCAAAGAGGATCATAGCAGAGTGTTAACTACCTTCAGATGTAAGCAGTGCTGGGGGGGGGGGGGGGGGATTATAGACGATTAGGAACCCAAAGTGCATCTGCTTCTGAAGCTAAATGAAATCCATTGGCTGTCCAATGAAATCTTGAGATTCTTCGTCTTCACACAGTGCGCAAAGCGCTCGCCACGTGGCATCTGTGATTAGGATTGACACTAACTTCCTCAGCGCGCACGGAATCACTTTTATACCAAAGCATGCAGCGGCGTATGCAGCGGCGTCAATCAACCAGCAGCGGCCTGCGACCGGCCGCGCGTATCAGCCCCCACACACTGGCAGGTTTGTGATCGGCATGGACGATCCCTGGTGTGTGGTACGGTGCCAATATGGGCCCTGTAATCACAGCAATGGAGCAAAGGGCCCTTCTTCTTCGCACAGTACCGGATTTGTGTCCCCTCTCGACTGCAGCACAGCTGTCCTAACAGCACCCCCGCCTTCCTACTGTTCCCCTGCAGGGGTGAGAGGGGGGTGGGGGGGGGGGTTAGTCAGCACTGTGTTCCTATAAACCGGTTGCCCTGTCAGGATTTGCATCACAGAGATGATTAGCATCGTGGCAGCTCGATATCAGAGATACCGAGCTGTGGTCACGTGCTCTATCCTAAAGTGAACCCTGGCGTGTAGCATAAAGAGGAAAAGGATGATCTGTGTGTGGAAAGTGGACACCTCTGCATGATCAGGAGTCCCAAAACTGCTGCAGCACACTTCTATTTTTAATCAGCCCAGTTTGATGTCTATTCTTGAGCCCCTCCCTAATAGTTGGTCGAGAAAATGAGTCTTCCTTTCTGGAACAGCGTCTCTTGGCTCCAGGCATCACGGTGACGGTGACACAAAGGATCTTCTGTGTCACTTGGCTGTGATGCAGCACAGTGGTGAACACCACACAGGCTGCGCCGAGTCAGGCTCTCCTCCGCCCGTCTGGTGTTGAGGGGGAGCTGCACTCCTCACGCATCTGCGGGCGGGGGGGTTTACGTGTACTTTACACCGATGTTTTTTTGAACTTTGTTTTGTGTGTGGAAAGTGCAGCCTGCACACACAAGGACAGAACGGAGCGTTAATCAATAATCGGCCCGTGTTAAAGGCAGCGCACCGTGTGGCCTATTTGTGAGGACTTTTTTTTTCTTTCTGCAGGTTTCCCACACAGGTAAAAGTTATTTCTTCTAATAGCACCATCTGTTGGCAGACCATGCCCCCATTCTGTCTCGGTTGGCGCAGCGTGTACGCCACATGTTCAGTGTCGAGTCGTTATGGTCACTGAAAATCAACTGTTCCATGTAGATGGTAACACTGTGGGCTGGCCTCATTCACTCAGAACCCCCCGATTCCCCTTTTCTGACAGCCTAATTAGTCACAAGAAGATTATGACTACATTGTATACATCACATGGGGTTAACAGAGACTGGAAAATAGATTGTAAATGATACGGCTGATCCTGTGCACAGGAGGTGGAAATGTTGACACAGAACAGTGGAGCTCGCCCGTCTAATCGGCCAATAACCCCTCTGGGCGCCGCCCTCGTCACACACTGGAGGGGGGGACGTGAACTTGATACCAGCTGTGAGTCACATTAATTAGCTGAAGATATCCTGGTCAAAGCCAAAGGAGACCTCGATAACAGGGTGGCTTTGTGGCAGTGAGTGAAAAGTTCAGAGAAGGGCCAGAGGGAGAGATTATGATCCGATGTAGTCATTTTAGTCAGCGTAAATCAGAAGGGGAAAAGCCTACAAATCTCACTAGTTCTCTTCAGGGTGTTAAATGATAATATGCAACAACACCTCAGTCACACATCTAAACATTAGCGATCACAGTTGGAATAATTCATCTTTTGGTTTGGGTTGTACCGGTTCTGGTAAATGTGTTTTCAGTTCATGTTGTGTTTAAAAGATGATCTGGCATTAATGATCTTTCTGAAGAACTGCTTATTTCTGTTAAAATGACAAATCAAATCCATCACTTCAGTAAAGAATTCATGACCTAAAGGCTGCACGCCATCACAGATGTTCCTGCCGTACAGTAAAAGCACACACAGGAAAGGTTAGGTAGTGGATCCATATGGAGAAAAGAGTCGGATGAGCACGTTATTCTTTAGAGTGGCTGGATTATTTGAATGGACCTTTAGTGTCGACCACACCCCATCAACATTAACATTAGCATTTTGATTTGGTCTGCGTTGGAGGCCACCGCGCTCATTACACTACAGCTCCACTGTGTCAACAGAGAGCAGCATGAAAGGCTGTAAGGGGCCCCTGCATGCCTGCGGGAGTACGGGCTTACTTCATAGTTTATGCTTGAAAAAAGAGCCATAATCCTCCTGCCGCGGCTTGGGGTGGAATTCCCCTTTCACAGAGGGCTCATAGGAGCCAGCACGCAACGATAACAATCTCAGTTTAAAAAGAGCTGGGTTAACTACCTAAACATAGACTACGGATTGAGAAATGTTGTCATGATTTGTTTTCTCACCGCTGTCAACGTGATCAACTCTGGTAATGTTACAACAAGGTCTTGAATTCAAGTTAAGCTATGAGATGAGCAGATGGCTTAATACCGTAATTGCAGTTTTTTTGTTGTTATTTAAAGAATGTACACACATTAGGACTCAAGTAACCATCGCCCCCTAGTGGTCCAAACTGGCAATGTCGGATTTTACACATTAGTATAGAAATCCCTTCATTTACAGTGAAAAGCAATATAGCCATCAGTTAGCTCATCTCTGGGAAAAGGTCGACAATCTTACATGCAACTGTGGGTGTGACAAGTCAAAGAAGATAATCACTCCCTGTAATGTCAAACTACACAGACCAATGACACTGATGTTGTATAAACTTGGTTTAATAGTGTATGAAAAAAACGTTTTACAGTGGTTTTGTTGTATTCTGATCACTGTACCAACACAGTCATATTTAAAGGGCCTTTTTATGAACACAACTTTACAAAAGGTGCAGGACTTAAGCTACATTGCACATCAGACTTTCCTCCGGATGTGCAGGATGTGGATGTCTGGACTACTAAACTCTGGGTCTTGCTTTTCTGAAGGGATCTCCTCACAGGTGAAGTTTTGTCGCAGCAACTAAAAGAAAAAATTAAATAAATACTTACTGAGGGATGGTGCCATACAGCTCAGTTTCCATGCATTTACTCAACTTATGCATTACAATTAACCAATGGAAGACACGGTTTGGCTCTCACCTCAAAAAACTGCCTTTCCACTTTGGGGTTGACCCCCTCTGTGCGCTGCTCGTAGCAGCAAATAATGCAGGTGTCTGGTCCAGAGAGCAGCAACAAGCTCTCCACTAGTGGAACAATAGACTGTGTGTGAAGAAACTAGAGTCAATAACCAAGATAAATGCAGCTTTGTCCCTCAAGGAGACAAAATTATTAAGACTCAAGGGTCAAGTTTAGATGGAAAAAGTAGAAAACGCTTGTGGGTTACCTGCTCATAATAGATGCAATCTGCCATAAGGACATAATGTGGGGGTGACTGGAAGTCAGACACATCTTCACCCCTTTGGATAAAACAAAAAAAACAGGTTAGTAAGTGGAGAATTCTGGCAACATGTTGAACGTATTTATAAATGTAATCCACACGAGTACAGACCATTTAAGTACCTTTGCAGTTACTGATCCACTACTGATGAGTGCCTGGTTTTCCCGGATGTTTACACTTAGCAAGGTCTGCAGGTCCTCCAGGTCCGTCACAGTAACAACAGCTCTGTGGGAGTTAACACACACGTTAGCAGTACACACACACACACACACACACACACACAGACACAGAAAGTCAAAAGGATGCAATGACAGTTGATCACTCGCTGCAGCAGCCAGCTGACGTTAGCTAACGTTAGCTCGTCTTTACACTGCATCGTGTACTTTAAGGAATGAGTAACTTTAAAAAATGAAAAAAAAAACTAACCCGTCATCTCACCCCAGTGTTGCTGCCATCAGACCAACTACTCCCGTCCCGGCTCCTAACTCCACGACCCTCCTCCCAGCCCAGACGTTCACTCCGGAGGACGGGTCGTAAAATTGTTTTGTCTCCAAATATTTAGCCAGAACGATGGCCGCGTCCCAAACGACGCAGCCGACGTCTCCCAAGTAGCACTGCTTCACCTTTAAGGTCAACCCGTCGTTTTTCTCAATTTCTCTCACAAAATAATCCCCCTCGTCTGCGTCGGCCGCCATGTTGACCCCGACCGGAACAAGTAGACGGTTTCCGGTTGGATTATTATTTTCAGAATAAAAGGGTGAACTATTCATACCGGGGCAAGCGAACTGAATGAACGAACAGACGTTGCGAAAAAGGTAGAATAAGTATTGTTTGGTAACATTATCTGCAAAATGGTAACATTCAATCTGTAAAATGTGGTGTTCCATGTTCTAAAAAGAAAAGTGAGTCTCTTCAGCTGCTTTGAGATATAAAGTGATACAGGTCATTTTCTAATGGATATAAACACAAGCTCCGTCCTATATACATGCTGGGGGGTATGTCAGGCCTCCACCACAAGTCACTCACACAAATATTTTCAGAATAAGGTCATGATCTTGACCTCAAAATCTGTCATGTTCAATCGTCACTGGTCTTGGTAAAAATGTCACGTGAGTGATGTGCGAAGACGCGCCAATCAAAGGCGTTGCCTTGTTCGCGCGCAGCTAGCACAGACCAATTCGGTAGCTAACGTTAATTTATAGCTAACAGTTTACTGACAATTTAGGGTGATACCCTTTGTCTCGCAAATTAGCAGTCGTGTTTTTGTGTTGTGTTACTCTCATTATCACTTCTTAAAGTACTAGTTAATTAATTCGTTTTATAACGTCGCTATACCTGTGCCGTTGCGAGGGACTAAAATGTTTCCCAGCAGCACAGATGCGGTAATGGACACCTCGGATGGTGGACAAACATGGGGACCGTCCCTAACGGACAGAAGCCGACCGTATGAAACAACCTCGGACGGTCCTGGGTATTTTTCCCCCGCTTCATCCCACCAAAGTTTCGATGAAGGCAGTACGAGCTCCAGCCATGGCCCGTTCCTCCCCCGAGGCTCCTCAGGTGATCTCAACGATAACCAAGTTTAAGCTAACACTCGCGTTAGCTTCTTTTTCAATGGCAAAACAAAAGTCGATGCATTACAATAAGGACAGGATACATTGATATAACAACAGTCCCAACAATATGGAATATTTCCTCTCGACATAACTTAGGTGAGTTCGATCCTAGCTTCCGGTTAGGCAGGATGAATCCATCCCCGCTTGCATCCACCTCGGACAGCCCGTCGCTTCGCGGCCCCGCAGGAACACCGAAGCTCAGGAGGCCACCGGGGTTCGCGGGGGCCACTGGGGGCGCACACCCAGCGCGCACACCACTGACCGATCACACCGGTAATAGAGCCCTACGTCACATTTCGAGAATGACCTCAAGCGTCGTTTCTAATTCCGATTCCCTTGTTTTTTGCAGCGACAACTTGCTCCTCGGCGACCGCCGCCTCTGGGGCCTCTGTGCTCGTGGCGGTGGTTGAGGGCCGCGGCTTGGCCAGGGGAGAGATTGGCATGGCCAGTCTCAATTTGAAATGTCCAGAGCTTGTACTCTCTCAGTTTTCAGACACTGGGGCGTATGCCAAGGTAACCAATTCACGGTCAAACTTTAGAGTGCAACTGAAATGCTCGATTGGCTGTTTAATCATTGATACTCTGAAACAGAGGGAATTCCTGTGTTATTCATATTTTACTCCTCTGAAGGTGATAACCAAGATTCACATCATGGTGCCACTCGAGATACTTATGCCAGACACAGCCAGTGAGAAGGGGAAAGGGACGAAGCTGTTCAGCCTCATCACCGAGAACTTCCCGGTACCAATGCAGAAAAAGAGCTATGACCAAAACACGCAACTGATGGGAACAAGTACTTTCAAAGAAGAAGGCGGCTCATACTCATTCACACTCAGTCACTCAATACTGTGTATTGTGCATCCCCACCTATTTACTGATGTGTTTGTTAAGGGTGAATGTTGTTCTTCTTTGTTGTCAGGGTGTAGCTTTCACTGCTATCCAGAGGAAGTATTTTAATGAGAGGAAAGGACTGGAGTACATTCAGCAGCTGTGTGCTCCAGAATACGGGACCGTCCTCATGGAAGTGCAAGCTAAGTACGCCACTGAGTGTAATACCGTGATTAAAATCCTGTCGCATTAAGATCCTGTCGCACAAACCGTTCACACAAATGTTCGTGTTCAGGTATTACTGCCTAGCAGCGGCCGCTGCTTTGCTGAAGTACTTAGAATTCATTCAGAACTCCGTCTACGCTGGCAAGTCTCTGAAAGTGAGCTTCAGAGGGAGCGAGCAGACTGCGATGATCGACTCCACATCTGCCGCTAACTTGGAGTTGGTGGTCAATAACAGAGACCACAGGTGAGAAGGGTACGACAGCACCTTCTTTGTATGTGTAGCGCTTGTATGATCTCTAGCGTGAACACGGGCGGTGAGCGTTCCGTCTCCACAGGAGCGGGCACACTCTTTTAGGGGTGCTCAACCACACCAAAACGCCCGGCGGTGCGAGAAGGTTGCGCTCCAATATTCTGGAGCCTCTCGTTGATGTGGACACCATCAACATACGCTTGGACACCATACAAGAGCTGCTGTGCGACACCGAGCTCTTCTTTGACCTGAAAAGCGGTGGGGAATTAAACACGCGTTCGATAAAGAGCACGCTGGAGACGGGAGCATAACGCCGTTTTTTGACCGTCCGCTCTTTTGCTCTCCTCAGCCATCGCTCGTTTCCTGGACATCGACCAGCTGCTCTCAGTTCTTGTCCAAATCCCGAAGCAGGAAACCGTACGTAGAGTCCTTTCAGCACAATTGCGTGAGATGATATGATTGCAGTGGAATGTCTTTACTCAAAGGGAACTCATGTGTGTTTGTTTTTGAATGCTTTAAAACTCAATGTATTTCTTTCCCGTTTCATTGTTTTAACAGGCTCAGGTTGCCGAAGCAAAAATCACACACATCATCCAACTGAAACACACGTTGGACCTGGTGCCACGTTTAAGGGTCTGTGAAATGTGTTCATCATCATCCTATAGCCATGAATGGAATGAGGGGAGAAAGCATTGTATACGTTCTTTCTTTGACGGCCTTTTTCAAACATTGCGCTTTACGAACAGATGGCGTTGAAGAATGGAAATACGGCTCTGCTCAAGGCATACAGCGCCTCGCTGGAAGACAACAGGTACCAAGCCCCGTGCCTACGTTAGACAAACGTCTGCCTACAGACCTCTCCCACCGTACGTGTGTCCTCGTCAGGTTCGACATGATCTTAGAACAGATCAAGACGGTGGTTAACGAGGACACTACCTACCTGAAGGGGAGCCTGAACTTACGCACCCAGAAGTGTTACGCCGTCCGCCCCGACATCAACGAGTTCCTCGACATTGCCCGCAGAGCTTACACTGAGATAGTGGACGACATCGCAGGTGTTCAGTCGATGTCTTTGGTTTACGATGTTTGTTAACGTTATCTCTGCACCCAAGGTCATGAGATGGCGTTGTGTTGCACAGGGCTGGTGAGCCAGATGATGGAGAAATATAGTTTGCCCATGCGTACCAGCTACAGCACAGCTCGAGGTTTCTTCATTCAAATGAAGCTGGAAGGAGGGGTCTTACCTGAAGGGAAACTCCCCCCGGAGTTTATCAAGGTGTGGTCTAACAAGGAAGACAAATGGACCCCATCAGGACAATGAAGCTGAATAAAAGGAATGCACACAATAAAACATAATTATGCCACCGCAGGTAACGAAGCACAAGAACAACTATGGCTTCACCCACGCAGACCTGATTAAGATGAATGAACGCTGCGATGAGGCCCTGAGGGAGATCTTTCACATGTCCTATGTGTAAGCAGATCATTATCATATCATATTCACACTAGTGTATTGTAGGCACCTAATTGCACTGTACTGAATATTAAAAGAATCCTAAATAAAAGTACTTTGCTGCCAAATAACGTAACAACCAATTTTTTTAACTCTTTCAGTAATTGGAAGCAATGAAAGTCTACGTTTCTCCATCTCTCAAGCTGTCAACCATTTAACACAATTAGTATTAAATGTGTTCTTCTTTCTGTCCACTAGAGGGTGCTCTTTATCAGCTAATATTCTTCCTGTGCAATGCCCTTGTAGCCTCTAACGTGTCTCCAAAACAGGGTGATATGTCAACTGCTCAGCACCATCCACGAGCACATCCACTGCCTTTACAAGCTCTCTGATGCCGTGTCCATGCTGGACATGCTGCTGTCTCTGGCCAACGCGTGCACCGTCTCAGACTACGGTGAGTGTGACTCACTGTGGACGTGCAAAGCGTCAAAGCCACCTTGAGTGAGGCGGATATGTTGTCCGAGGGAGTGCTGCGTGCACACCAGGCCACGTTACACATGTCAACCAGGAACTGCTCCTCCGAGCCGGCAGTTCTGCTGGCCTCAGTTCTTTTTCTTCTCTTTTTTTTGGGGGGGGTTGTGGGCAACACACGCCAGATCAGGCGCTGATCTGCTTCTTCCAGCTCCGACTGCCCTTGTTACATAAGTGTGCACTGATGTCCTGTGTTTACACAGACATATCTCCTGAACAGAAGAGCTACGTGGCTGCAACAACCGGCACCTCAGCAAATAAGCTTCCATCATATTGTGACACCCTTTTCAGTTAAACAACTAGCACAAAAGAATGTTAATATCTCAATTAAATAATAAACCGCAATCATTTGGTGACAGTTGACCTGCTTTACTTGATTTGGTTTGTTTCCAAATGCTCACTCGTGGTGTTGCTGTCCTTTAATGCATTGTGATCATTTCAAGGAAACGCATCAAAGAACATTATGAGACAAATAAAATATCAACAACTCAATGCACTTTATTAATCATCGTTTTCTCTGCCAGTGCGCCCCGAGTTCACAGATACGCTGGCCATCAAGCAGGGTCGTCACCCCATCCTGGAGAAGATGGTCGGACAGCAGCCCGTCTCCAACAACAGCTTCATCTCCGAGGGCAGCAACTTCGTCATCATCACTGGACCCAACATGAGCGGCAAGTCCACCTACCTCAAACAGGTGGCGCTGTGTCAGGTCATGGCTCAGATAGGTCAGCGGCAAACCTCTCGGCCTCTCATCGATTTGGAGTACACAGCGGCACGGTGCCAGTTATCCACTTGGCTCAGTCTTTGAGTTATTTTTCCAGGCTCTTTCGTCCCCGCTGACTACGCCTCCTTTCGCGTTGCCGATCAGATTTTCACCAGGATCGGTGTGGATGACGATTTTGAAACAAATTCGTCCACCTTCATGTTGGAAATGAAGGAGGTATGTTCGTGTCTTTCTAGCTTTCTTACGTTCTTTAATTACATAAATGAGGGAACTAAATCACACGTTCATGATGGACTGCGCATCTCCCCCCCCTAAAAGATCTCCTACATAATCCACAACGTAAGTGACAGGTCCCTGATCATCATAGACGAGTTGGGCCGGGGAACCAGCGCCGAGGAGGGCATCGGTATTTGCTACTCAGTTTGTGAGTTCCTTCTTAGTCGCAAGGTAGAGTTCACACTTTCACAGCCCTGCACATAGATTCCTCTCTGACATTCAAACCAGTTGAACCAGACTCCTCTGCTGCATATTATTTATTTGTACTTATTGTTTAGTTGCGCAGCACCTCTGAGGTCAACACCCAAGTAGGAAAGTCAATACAGGAATTTGTTTTTTTTTTAAGGCGTGTGTTTGTTTGCAGGCGTTCACCTTGTTTGCCACACACTTTCTTGAGGTGTGCCAGCTGGAGTCTCTTTATCCCAACGCGGAGAACCAGCACATGGAGGTGCAGCACACGCGCAGTGGGGACACCGGGGGAGAGAGTGTGGTGTATACGTACCTGCTGAATCAAGGATGCTCTGAAGAAAGACACTATGGTACAGACACAAGTGAAATCCAGCTGCTGTCTTGTTGAACGCGGTCGTGAAAAGCGTGACGGAGCTCGTTTCTGCTCTTCTAGGTCTGAGAGCAGCAGAAATGACGGCGCTTCCCTCAAACATAATCCAAGAGGCCAAGATGATTGCCTCCAAAGTTAACCAGCAGCTTCTGGTATTTTGCCTTCTGGCCTTCTGGTACCCAAACCTGTTTTGTGCGTTCTTTGTTTAGACATACATTTTAAGCCGGTGCTTTAATGGCCTAAGAGAGTCAAAGTCGGCGTGGTGACAGAAAGCGCTCCCTGTATAATCCTGCTTTGAATCAGAGAAGTGCTTAGTAAGAAGACTGCATCCACAGTGTGGTCTTTGCGTTGCCCTAGGCCAAACATCACAGTGATCCCGGAGAAAAGAGGGAGAGAGCCGTGTACAAGCTGGCCACCCGCCTCCTGCAGACTGCCAGGAACTCCAGACTGGATTGTGACAGCTTGCGCATGTATCTGAAGGGCTTAAAGAAGCAGTACGAGGCCGAGATGCTGGCAGCAGGGCAACCGGCCTCCGTTGAACCAGAAGAGGAATGACTGATTCAGGCTTACTTATCAGTCGAAGAATCATTACTCAGCATATTGTGTTTGGATTGACATATTTGATGTGGAATGTCTTTGAATTTCCGCGTTTCCTTTTGGATGGTCTGTTATGAAGACTGTCATAACACATGTTCGTTTGTTGTTATTAAAATGGTGGCGTTGTATCCTTAAGCCACAGAAAATAAAAATAAACTGGATATAGATGAAGTCAACATAAAATATGCTCGCGTTTTATAGACTTTGTGAAAGTGCAATGACCGCTCCCCTCTTTGATTTGGCCGACAACAAGATTTGCTCTCCAAGGTTGTCTAGAAAAGGCGGGGCTATCTTTGGGTTTCCCACCCGCGCGTAATGACAGCCTGTGGCGGTGTACCCTCAGTCGCAAAACAAGCGTCCCTTTCCGTAGCCTGACTATGACCCGCCCCCGCGAACCAGAAACGGGAGATGGTCTGACGGATAGCGCAGAAGAAAGCCAGGCTGGAGCTGCACTGGGAAGTCGGAAGTCTGCGAGAGTCAACGCAGAACAACGCCATTTCACCACCGGTTAAAGCAACGGCAAACTAAAGATACAGGTACGCCGTGTTCGTCGGCGACATGTTGTTCATTTCTTGTTTCTGTCGGTTTTGTTGGTGTTAGCATAGCTAAGCTCTTTACCCAGGCCTGGGAACGGCCCTCAGGACTTGAGCGGAAGAACGAAGCAGCAGACCGGGTCAGATTTCACGAGAGAGGGAGGCTGGGTCAGCAGCGAGACGAGGCCCGTGGAAGGGGGGGTGGGGGGGGCAGACGTCCACGCCTCCACACGGACTCCCCGTTTGTCAAAAGAAAATGTTCTCGAGCGACATGTTAAAACGTCCTCGGCCGTCGGTTTCACGCCTGAGTACTTCCCCGGAACGTTACCCGCATCCGCGGGCTGGGGGGCGGACGGCGGTACGTGGCGAACGTTAGTTGGCTAAGTTAGCCTTAGTGTTAGCTAGCTCATTCATAACGCGCAGCTCTGTCCCCCCGACACACTGCTTATGTGGGCCCTTTTCCGCTGAATTATCGACTACTTGTACTGTTAGCTGACAGTCGTGACACATTTTAGCCCCCATTGATTCTATAAAGCTTTTTCCTCTTTTTTTTTTAGTGTGCTCGTCATCTCGACGTCGCAACGTGAGCCTCTTCCTTCGCTTTCACGTTACATTAACGTGCGACTGGAAAGTTATCTGAGCTAACTTCGCAAAGGAAGATTAACGCCGGCATTCGGGTTAGATCAGACCTGTTTATATCTTCTGAGTACAGTCCTTCTCGGGTGTAGGAACAGCTGCCATTACGTGTCACGGTTCAATAGTGTGCAAAAAAGCCGACGATAAGACCTGAAGCGGGCACGCTGGGACATTAGGTCCGTGTTGAATTTGGAGGAGGCTTGGTGTAACATCAGAGACGGCTCGTGTTATAACTTATTTATAGTGCTCAAAATGAATGAGACATGTGCCGGTTATCCTGCTACATCATCACCCTTCTCGCTAAGGTGCTGACTAAAGATATGACCGTCACACCGAATCTGTCAAGCAGCCCTTGGCCCCTCTTTCCGGATCCTTGGCTCGAGATTGTGAAGTTGGAGTCGGTTCTTCCTTCCCCCGGGTCTATGTAGATTCGCTCCTATCTAGGTGGTCTTTGTTGCACTTTATTCTATATGAACCACACTCTCAAGTGTAGTTGTCGCTGCTGATCAGAAAGTTTCCCCCCTGTAATCAGATGCCCTACCGTGTACTTTGCTACTCTCTGTTTAGTTTATTGTTGTTATTACTGGATTACGGATCATGTTTAATTACCATGGTGCCATCTTTACATCATCTATTCAGGCAGGGCCACATCTGTTATCTGAAGCATTGCTTCGATTATTTTATTATCTGTAGTCCTTGAAACTTTATAGATGAAAGGTATGGTTATTGCCGAGTGAATGTGGTTCAATGTGCCACTTAAAATGCATACAATTCTTATTATTTATTTTTTTTACTAAATACAATAATTCTACACATTTTTGAGCCATTTTGCCAATAACTAGCACCATCGTCCACCACCACCACTGTCAAGTGATGCATGTACTTGTTCTGAAGTACTGTCCTAACTGCTTTTTGAGACTGATCGTTCTCAGGAGTTCCAAATCCCGTCTGCTGAATCGGGAGGCCTGGCCAGTCAAGTTAGATTCCGGGGAGCCAACAGCCCGAGAGGGCTTTGTCCCCGAGGCTCAGTTTGATGCCGGGACAGGCCTCCGCACTCGTGCACCTTCCACTCTGAGGCCCGGGAACCAAAGAAAGCAAGCGGGCTTCCAGCGTTTACGCCACTTACTCCGCCCGCACTTACGTACATCAGGAACCAAACGTTGCGTTAGAAATTATTTCACAGCTTTATTTGGTCTGACATGGGAGTTTTCTCGGAAACGCAATTGATGTGACGTAACAAATAGCTTCCTGGTTTAGTAGCCACTGAAGGGTAGCAGTTACAGCTTTGTTACCCACGGTGTGTATGAAGTACACACTGTACTATGTAGTAACGGGGTAAGAAAACAGAGTGCATGAGCAAAGAAAAAACAACTAAAATTTATTGTTTGTTTTTTCACAATTGTATATGTTCCGACTGCGCTCTCTAGACCAGCAGCTTTAGCTCTAGTCACATTCTTCTGGCTGAGCTTATCTCCGGCTCCATGTAGGAATGCATGCTCTCTGAGATACGTGCCATATAAACACCACAGAGAAGTGGATAAGCATTTCATAAAAACATTTAATAAACTCGTAAGATCCTCCAATCACATTTACCGGCGAAGCCAGCGTTTAAGCGCCACCATTTTTTATTCAGTATGTTTTTAGGGTATCCTCAGAGAATAAATGGTGTGCTTGTTCATATTTTTTCTGAAATGAAATGTGTCAAATCATATACATTAAAGCAGGTTAGGCACATTTTGGTGTGTTGCAGAAGACTCAATTTGAGTTTTTCCTGATGGGAGTGAAACCGGGTCAACATTACACTTATAAGGCTTAGTCTGAGTTCTCAGGAAGCCCTGCAGTGGAAAGTTATTCTTAAATGTATTATCATGGGTAATCAGCTTAATCCAAATGACTAAAGAGGTCTGGACTACAACGCAGACTCCTACACTATATCACTGCCACAGATCCCAGGCATAGGATGGGATTGTGCAGCTCTTCGGGTCGCTTACTGCTGGTGCCACTCTATTGTTGACAACACAACGCTGCCCTCCTAACAGTGTTATTATTTTTTTAGGGAAAAATAATTTCTCTTTTATTGCAAAAACTTGATTTTTGATTTGACCCAGTGAAGAATCCAGGGAACTGAAGGGTCTCTGTTTCAACATTTTTAACAGTGTTGGAATTTTTCAAGGGCTAATCAGAAAGCTTGGCTGAGTAGTGACATTCATTTGTGTAAAGTCTCCTTTTATCTTAACAGCCATCATGCATCTCGTCAGGGTCGTTCATGCCCGGAAATAAAGACAATGCTTACACATGGTTTGGTTTATAGTGGCTTCTAGTAACTCATTGCGTCTCTTCCATTATTACTGTACTGTAGCAGCATTAAAGAGATGGACAAATAGCTCTGGTAGATGCTAAATTGATAAAGTCACAGGACCTCTTGACTCTGCAGTGGAAGAAGAACAGCCTGTTCCATGGCTTGACGCAGGCAGGGGTTAAACTGCAGCATACCTCATCGGGTGACACTCGCATGTGGGTGTATTCTTGCCTCCTGCAAATCCATCAAATGAGTTTCAAATTTCATCACATCGTCTTTGTGGGGGAAGCTCAATGAGGGAAGTGAAATAAGACAGTCCTCTACTTTTCTCTGATGCTCTTGGCTCATATAGACCCGCATTAAACCACAGGTGGCGATTTCTCTCTGGCTCTCTCCAAGCTGTGTGCCAAGTACATCCACCTTATTTTACGTGGATCTATATAAAGATGGGGGATTTAAGCTGTGTAGCTGGTGTGGTGTTATCTAATTGGATCATATCACTAAGACCGGACGGGGTGTCAGTGAGAGTCCTTTTCATTCACTCCCTCTCCATGCCATTGGTGGACTAACGTCTCCACCCCTCACATGTCATGTCACCTTTTGAGATTTTATTCCCAGTTGACTTCAATGGTAGAAAGCCATTACCTTATTGTCATACATTACATATGTGTGCCAAACCATGTTGACTGTCAACCTAGTGGCCTACATATTTTGTGTCTCTCTCCTTCTCTCCAGAATGGCGGTTGATATCTACGACTCTCAGTACCTGCTCATCCTGGCCCCTACCCTGGTCATTGCCCTCATGTTCCTCTTCTTCTGGCTCTTCATGAAGGAGACGTCCTACGATGAGGTTCTTGCTCGGCAGAAACGCGACCTCAAGCTACCACCACCCAAGCCGGAAACCCGAAAGAAGAATGAGAAGAAGAAGAGCAAGAAGAAGGAGACTGCCAGCGGAGGAGGTGGAGGAGAGTCGGAAGAGGATCTTCGGGAGTTTGATGTTGCTAACGGTGCCAACAGCTCCACTCCGGAGGAAGAGGAGGAACTTGCACCAGCAGCTATACCAGATCCCGCTCCACCACCACCATTTCCCAATGTGCCTGTTTCAGTGTCCCCCGAGGCACCTGCTGGTCTGAGAGAGAGAAAGAAGAAGGAGAAAAAGGCGGCCAGGGCTGCCACAGCCGCTGCCGCAGCCGCTGTCACTGCCGCTGCCGCAGCTGCTGCCACAGCCGCGGCGGCTCCTTCTGAGGAGCCAGAGGTGAACGGCTCACAGCAGATCAGTCGCAAAGTAGAGAAACCTCCCTCCCCCAAACTTGAGGTCCAGATCTCTCAGGCTCCTGTTCAGGCTCAAACACCTCCCCAGATCTCTGGGAAGAAAAAGGAGAAGAAGAAACCAAAGACAGAGTCTGGTGAGTAGCGAAGAGTGGATTTCAAAGTGTATAATTTCTCATGAATTGCTAACAATTCATTGAACTCTGAAGTTCCAGCGAACGACCAGCAGGCGGAGGTTATTCCTGAGCAGCGTCCAGCGCCAGTGAAGAAAGAGACTCCAGTGATGGCTGATACCAGAATTGTGGACGGTGCAGCCCCAGTCGCTACAAGTGGCAAGAAAAAGAACTCTGCAAAGAAGCAGAAGACCGAGCATACTAATGGTGATGCAATTGTGCCGCATTTATTTATTCTTTCAAATATGACGATACACAAAACAAAGCCTGAAATGTTGACCTTGTAATTAACCAGTTTTTTCTCAAATCCAGTAGATGAAGCGCATGTTCTGGTTGACTGTGCAACTCCTGCCAACCACCAAGCGGGCCATAACAATGACGTACCATCCAAAGGGAGTGGCAAGAAGCAGAAGAATGAGAGTGACAAAGGCAAGAAAAAACTAGTCAGATCCAGTCTTTGTTTCAGTTTTTTTGGTATCCCATAAAGGGATCAATTTTTTGTATATACATTTTTTTTTTAACAGAGAAGAGGGAGGTGAAGCTGAAGGAACTGCTTACTGGTCTGTCCAGTCTGGCTCTGTCGGAGGCCGAGGCCGTCAGTGTGATGGTTCTCCTCCGGGAGAAGAGCCCCAATGCCTTGGATGCCTGGCACAAAGTGAGAGCTCCGTTGAATACTGTGTTTTGACATATTGCACTATTTGCATTTGGCAGGATACGAGGTATTTATAGTTGGACTTGCTATGCCCCCTTTTTGACGTTGTGTGTCTCACCGCCAGGCTGCAGCTAGGCCTGACTCTGCTGCCCAGGAGCGAGAAAGGTTCCTCACAACTCTGCAGGAGGAGGCTTCCATCGCAAAGGACAAAGTGAAGCAGCTTAACCAGGTCTGGATTCCCACGTTGTCAACAAAGTGTTTGAGAGATTAATTGCACTTTTTCAGCAAAGAGCTTCATGCGTCCTTTTTACTTCTGTGCTTTAGGAGCTTCATGTGGAGAAGCAAAAGACCGGCCGGGTAGAGGCTGTGATGAGAGAGCAACGTGCAGCCATGGAGAAAGAACTGGGCAGCATGCAAGGCAAAGCGCAAGGCAGCTACCAGGAGCTTCAGACCATGCAGATAAAGGTTTCCACTTAGTTGCTTTCATTAACTGTACCTTTACTACATCAAATCCCGCAACACACTACTGTGGAGAGTGGATATGAAGGAACGCAGACCTTTTGGCCATTCTTCTTAATTTTTTTTTTTTTTTTTTGTGTGCAGTTCCAGCAGGCGAGGGAACAGATGGAAAGCCAGATCACTCGCCTGCAGCAGGAAAACGGCATCCTGAGGGACGCAGTCAGCTCCGCCACCAACCAGATGGAGAGCAAGTCAGTGTTACTCTGCTTTTTAAATAATACACCGCTGGTCTTGCTCTCCAGAGCGTTATAAATGTCTCATCTTGGTCGAACATTCCTGCTGGTCCTGTTTGTAGTAGTGTTTCAAGTCACCATCTTTGTAATTTAGCTCACGTCCTCTCAACATTATGCTCCATCTCTTCTGCCTGTGAGCTGCCATGTAAAGGCTATTTGGACTTTTATTCATCAACCGCTCTCACATCACTCATGGGTGCTTGTTTTGCGCTTCTTCCTTCATAGGAATTCAGCAGAGCTGAACAAGCTGCGCTCAGAGTACACCGGTCTGATGAAAGAGCTGACGGACAACAACAACAAGCTGCAACAGGAGGAGCACCAGAGGAAGTCCCTGGAGGTCAACTACAAGCAGAATGTGTCCCAGCTGGAGGTACACCAATCCAGATGCACGATGTGTTGAAGTAGCCTGGGCTGTGGTAACCCTCAGCGGAGCCGGAAAAAACAACTGAGTGGTGCCAAAAAAACGCTTCAGATCTGGTTCGAGGGTGTGGAAGCATTGCTGAGGAAATGGGAGGTGGTGGGAGCGGTGTGGGGAAATGGAAGCAGGGCCGAGAGGATTGTGTTGGCTTGGGAAGCAGGAATGTTTGAGGCTTTTGTACGGCATATAAACACTTTCCCGTGAGACGCCGAGAGCGGTCTTTCCTGTCTTTTCTTTGTACAATCGGAAAGGGAGATTTAAGTTGCCGGCTAAAAGAGTCTCTGCAAAGAACTGTCTATTTTTCTCTAATGCGCAGACTAGAAAGTTAAATGAATGTGCAGTTTTGTCATTTGTACGTGCCATTAACTGGCAGATCCAAAGCTGTGTTTGAATCCGAGGAACTTGATGGATGTCATTTACCTGGTGCTATGTGGTGGCACCACTTAATCTGATTTGTTTGAGGATGGTGATCATCAAATTGAATATATATCCCTCCAACCACAGGCCCAACTGCAGGATGCCAAGCGGGGTTGGGAAGAACTGCAGAATTTCCTCCATACCGTCAACGCTGAAAGAGAGAAACTCCAGGCCTCAAAGCAAGGTACAACATATCAGACTCTGACTTAATGCTTCCTCTGCATCGACTAGCTACTTCCAGCTGCTGATTGTTTGTGTGTGTGCGCGCAGAGCTTCACGGTCAGTTTTTGTCGGTGGAGGCTGAGCTGAACAACAAGAACAAAGAGATCCAGACGTTACACAGCAGTCTGACTGAAGCCATGGTTACCAAGGAGCGTCTGGAGCAGAACGTGATGGAGCTCATGGAAAGGTCCCAGCACAGTATGCCCGATGACACGCTGCAAGCCCGGGTTCTGGTGAGCCACCGCGACATTGCACGCCACGGTGTTGGAGCCCTACTTTGCTTGCATCGGGTGTCCAAATGAGCTGTCGTATTGTTTTACAGTCATATTTTGTTGAAATTTGTTTTTATAAGAATCTGAATGCCCTGTATTTAACAGGATCTTCTGCATGAAAACAAAGGTCTTCAGGTCCAAAATGAAACTATGCAGGCCCAGCTCTCTTCACAGGTATATAGGTCCACCTAATTTAACTATGTTTAGTAAAGAAATGTATGTGGGCTAATAAGATGTATTCTTTTCACACTTAGGTCACCCATGTGTCTCTCATTGAGGAGCTGCAGAAGCTGTGAGAAACGATTTGAGATGTTTTCAGACACGACTGCATCACAAGTGAAAATGTTAAGTTTCTCATGTGCTCTCCTGAATTGTTTTTTTTCTTCCAGATTGGCTGATAAGGAGCTGCAGAGGAAGAGCCTTGAGGATTCTCTAAATGCTGAGAGGAGCAGTGGGGCCAGTAGAGAAACTGACATGCAGGTATGGTCACTGGAGCGCACCGTCTACAGCTTCCTATACCAACATGGCGTTGGTTCACCGGTCCGCTTGAGACAGCATGTTCCAAGAACTCCTTCTTGGAACATGCTGTCTCAATGTGTAATGAGGGAATGTGGATCAAAGACTCTGTAGACCATCCTGCCAGAACAAGGGCAGGATGGTTTGCAGATATTTTGAGTTCCGCTGCCCAACGGATCTCATTTATTGGCGGTTATATAAACTTGTTAGATTAGTAGTGCTATGCCAACTATTGCACCTTCCTCTCTTCATCTGCAGGCCTTACACAACGATAACGTGTCACTGAAGGCAATCCTTAAGAATCTGCAGGCACAGATTTCTGATCAGGTTAGCTGTGTTCCTTGGCTGTTTTTTTTTTTAATTCAATAGGTTGGTATGTGATTGTGCATTGTCCGGGTTGACTCATCCTCTGTGTTTGACTCTCCCCATGCAGACTGCCTCCCAACTGGCTTTGGACCAGTGCCAGAGGAGGTGTGTGTATGAGCACTTGGACATAGTTTGAATGCTTCAGCTGGTTGCGCTCAGTATCTGATAAAGCTTATAAAACTTTTCTTCTCACTCAGTGTCCAAGAGAAAGAGGAGAATGTGAAGACTGTAGAGGACCTGCTTGAGAAGGGGCTGATAGAAATGGCCAACAAGGAAGAAGAGCTCCAGGTGTTTATTTTTCTTTTGTGCTGCATCGCACACATTTGAGTGACAACCATGACTCTGCATTCTACCTCTTGCCTTTTAAAATCACAAACCCTAATAGGAGAAAATCCCTTAGTAATTTCTCTCCCTCATGCAGGCCATAAGAGAAGTAAATGAGGCACTCAAACAAGAAACCAACGCCCTTAAGAGAAAGACTGCAGAGCAGGCGAGTCTTCATCTCTACTGCAAGGAGTTTCTGTTTTGTTTTTGTTTTTTCTTACATTGTTCTCATTTCTTTTTGTCCTCCCCACTGATCACAGGGATCATCGGAGTCCATGGTGAAAGAACTCCAGATAGCGTAAGATCAATCAAGTGTTCTTTGGATATTTTGGGATTGTGCCAATAAAATAAATAAATTCTCCCAGACTCTCTAGTCCACTCCCCCATACAGTCCTCATAGTAATTCTCCACCAGCACAACACATGTCTTCTCGCTTCTCTGCATTGAACCGTTGCTCGCATTGTTTCATAGGCTGAGGGATAAGGATGTGAAGCTAAGATCAATGGAGGATACTCTACAAGCGGCAGAAGACTGCAGCTCTACCAGGGAGAAGACAATTAAGGTGGGTGCCATACTGTGTTTTAGTTTTGAAGTTCATGTTGTATAATCCTGCTTTGAGCTCTTGTCTAAGTTAGATTTTGTGTCTCAGGCTCTGGAGAAGCAGTTGGCTGCCCTCCAGGTGGAGACGGAGCAGCTGAGACAAAGGGAGACGCCAGAAGAGCTGACCATCTCTGCTGCACAGCTCCAAGAACTCCAGGATCAGTAAGTTCACTCCAACACTTCAGCTCATTGTCCTTTAGCGCTGCCCCGCCAATCTGACTAATGATGAGCATCACCCACCCACAGGCTAGCAGCAAAGGACCGGGACATCCAGGCGCTGCAGGCCAAGCTGAAAGCCACAACCAAGGAGTTGAGTGAGAAGGTGGAGCAGGTTCATCAACAGGTGAGGAACAATCCCAAAGAGGTTTAAAGCAGGAAGAAGATATTTTTACTACGTTAACAACAAACCTAACAAATTAGGTTGGAGGAAGGGGTCCTTTTGGTTAGCGACTCTGAAAAGTTTATTTTCCTCTTGTTTTCTATGAGTCACATGTTTAATTGAGTCTTGTCTCTCTCCGAATAGCAGTCACACACTGCAGTGCCAAGCCCAGAGCTTCTGAAAGCGTAAGTAGTCTTGTGATAACGTACATATTTCCCTCATGTTTTCATCTTAAAGAGCCTTTAAGAATCCATAACAAGATGTTGTGATTGCTCTTGTTTCCATCAGGTTGTCTAAAAAGGAGAAGCAGGTCTCAGATCTGCAGGGTGAGCTGGCCGAGCTGAGGGATTCCCTGGAGCTTCATAGAAAGAAGAACAACGTAGGTTTCCTACGGCGATGAGCTGGATAACACTAGTAGCGGTTGTGTTCTTCTCCTGCGAGGCATCATCCCGTAGCTTTTGTGTGGTCCCCCAAACCCCCTCACAGTGGAGCTGCACCCTGCATCCAGCACTCCCATTTTTCCACTGCCACTTAGTCACACTTGTTTTGTTTTTTACTTCTTTGCTCGTTTGATAACAAATGGAGAGCTTTCTCTGGCTACGGTAGATTTCTTAACATGATTCTACACATTGATTTGGATTGCTGAGCGTTGCATAACTTCGAGCCTGCTCTTGTCAAGCTCTCTGCTGGCCTTGAATGTTTCAGCGAGCTTGTTGGCGCTTGTTGGTGATTCAGGGCTTTAGAAACTCGCCTACCTTTTATTATTTTCAAATCATATTGGAATTGAAAAGCAGATATATTTAGCCTTTTTTTCCCTTTTCTACAGTCTGTCTTCAGGCCGCCTTAGTTTGACTAGAAAGTACTCCCAGGACATTGTTATAATACATATCTTGCGTATTGTTCTTTTATCCACACAAGGTGCGAGACTGGGACTCTCGAGGCTATTAGTGTTATTATTTTTAGCTGTGGCAGCATGTGTGGAAAGCAGAGTGGAGCCATCCTAAAACGAGAAATGCATCCGGTTCGTTCTGTTACGCTCGCAGTGTTATTTAAAGGCTCAATGAATGCATTTTCCTTGAGGCTGAACTGAAGGTAGTATCTCTCTGGAACCGACCAAAACAGGAGCTCCGGGAGAAAAACTGGAGTGCAATGGAAGCTCTGTCAGCCACCGAGTCCATGCTTCAAGGGAAACTCAGCAAAGCCGTCAAGGTTCGACACCCCACCTCAGTCTCCTTCACTCTAGTTCCAATCTGATGCATCCCCCTCCTCCCCCCAAAATTAATCCGTTTTTTGCCATAATTGTCCCAGTGAGATTTTTTTTTTTTTGCCACTATCCATAACAAAGCTGCATACTCATTTACCACACTGCCTCCTCTGTTGTTTTCTCTCAATTGGCCTTGTGTTGTGCTGTTGATCTAAGCCCCTCCCCTTTATAGATCTCTAGCTTCCTGAACTGGACAAATGGAAGTTATAGGTTCAAGCTCTGGAATATACAGACGGCTTCCCTCCCACCCAAAGCATGGAAATGAGTGTGCAGTGACCTAGAGATGGTTTCACTAGATGTCATTAGATTGAGATTCATGATCATCATTTTTGCCGCTTCCTGTCTTTCCGTCATGTGACTTCTTTCTAGCATGTTTACTCCCCATTATGCTTTCTGGCATCCACGCTGTTAATATCGCCAGCTGATCGGCCGCTGAAAATCTCTTTAATTCACCTTGATTTGAATGCAGTTTATTCTTTTTGAAGGGAATATGATCATTCAAAACGTTCAATGAATATGTCCATGTTTGTTAATGCTCCGTACTCACAACTGCAAGATCCTTCTGTGACAACGTAAGGCGCAATCTAAAGGCCTACTCCTCGTCGTTGCAGGTCCCTCTGTGTAAACGGAGTGGGCTACCAGATAGCCGGTCTATTAACGGTCCCAGCGAGCGAGTATTTTTGCCCTCCTCTCCCTACATTAGGGAAGACGCAAGCTGAACTGTCAGCATAGCAGCTGCTCTTCTGCCGTCCGGGTACAGTAGAAAGCACCTTCTCCGAGCTGAGCCAGGGAGTTCCTCGGCAGCTGCTGTGTGTCCCGTTGCTGCACTCTGGCTGTACTCAACTCTATACAGTCTTCTCCGAGCTGCCTGTGACACGACGCGTTAATGTGAATAGTGGTTAAAGTGCCAGCTGGCTCCTGCTTGGCATTCGTGCTCCCTTCAGGCCTCGGAGTGCATGATGCTTGCTTATTGTAGGGGGACTAATGGCTGCCTTTTTTTTTAACGTTTTGAAGAGTTTCACGGTGCTTTCATGGAGGCAGACTGACCTATTTGGTTGCAGGAGGACCGAAGCATGCGATGTTCTCTGAATCTGGGGTTGCTGACACTCGGTGGAGGTGTGGCCTGTTGAGCGAAGCTGATGTTTTGGGATAGTCGGAAGTGGGAGTGAGGCAGCGTTTATCCTAATGCTGTAGAATTATAACATTAGGACCATGATGACACAATGACTGGAACGACTTGAGGGATAACTGGTATTAAAGAAGGGGAAGAAGGAAAAGCGGTGGTCATATCTGCTCTCATGACCTCTGGATCTTCGAAGTGACTGAACCGTTTGAACCGTCGGTGCTCAATCTCTCCTCCTCTCTCCGTCTTCGTCCTTTTTGCCCCCTCCCATCGCCTTGCAGGAGAACCAGACGGCCCTGTCAGTGTGCCAGGCTGAGTGTCGAGATGTCCTGCACAGACTTCTGCCCCTTGTGCCTCTGCCCAGTGAGCAGGTATGGGTAGTGTTAGATCTTCTACTTTTAACAGTGTGTTTTTTAATTTGCATCTTACAGCGTGTTCCTTCTCAACCGGTATCATGACGTCTCTGTCCTTCGATCTCTTCTTTCCTCCAGAACCATCAGGACTGGCTCCACCGATTTGAGGGGGCAGCAGCAGAATGCTCAACTGCAGCACCCAACCCTGCATCAGGGGACTCTAAGGTGAGTACGTTGCAAACGTACATTCCAACGGCTTTCCTTTTTGAACTGAATTTATATTTTATCAACAAATACTTTCTCTCTCTCTCTCTCACACTTAGATGCTGGTTGAGAAGCTGAAAGAAGCTGATGAAGCACAGAGGATTCTACAGAAAGACTGTGAGACGTACAAGAAGGTGTTGGCGGAGACGGTGAGAGGAGGTTTTAGCAGTCACACGTTCTAGTACGCCGGTGTCTCTGGCGTCAAACTGAGCTGTCGTTCCTGCTGCATCCACAGGAGGGCATCCTGCAGCTCCTCCAGAACAGTGTGGAGCAGGAGGAGTCTCGCTGGAGGGGCAAGCTGGAGCGGACACAGGGAGAGCTCAAAGAGGTCCGTGGTCAGCCTTAGCAGGAGGCCACTCCCAGATTGAACACCAGATGACTGAATATTGTACAATATTGTGTGCTCAATTGAGTGCATCATTCTTCCTTCTCCTCCCTCAGATGAGCCTGAAAGTCACAGCCCTGGAGCAGGAGATTGAGAGACTAACTGATGGAGCAGAGTTGGAAAATGTCAGTGCACTCAAAAACGCACATCTCAAATCAAAGCTGTGGCCAACTATTTTTTAATATAAGATTTTTGAGTGAAGTGATATGGAAATATTAAGTTGCAGTTTTGAATTCTCCAAATGCTGAGGAAAGGTGCTTACGCGCTACCTTGCTTGTCCCCTTTAGCATACGGGAAACTCAACAATCCTTTTTTTAGAGGAAAGGAAAAAACGCCTTTCCAATTCTTAGCAGCAGCTTTACTTAAAGCACAGCAACATTCAGCCGTCCATATCGAGTGGGCGCTGTTTGAAGTTGTGAGGAAGTGAGTTGGTCACTTCCTTTTATTTATTATGCGTTTCTTAAAACAAACCCCAAAAAAGCTTCTACTGTTGCTGTTGGGTTTTCTGAGCAATGCTGTTCCTCCGAAAACCCAACAGTCTTCCTGTTGTCGTTTCCTGAGAAGAATTCTCCTTCACATCTTTCCTAGACCTCATGTGGTGGTCCGTCAAGGTCAAGGAAAGGGGGGTCTGGGAAAGATGTGGGACGTTGTATTCTATTTTGTGACAATTAGCACGTAGCTTAACACACTTGTATTTCTATGAAGAGTTATTATAAATTCTAATTTTCAGCCTTTTTAGAATGTGCTTGGTCTCGTTCACAAGTAACAACGAGCCTCTGTTGTTCTTTTCAGCTTAGAAGAGAAAAACAGCATTTTGAGTCTGAGTTGGAGCGAGCGGAGCGTGAGAGTGCCACCTACGTAACCGAAGTCAGAGAGGTGAGCCGCAACTCCTCCACCTTCCTGATCCTCCGTCACGTCCTTAGCTGGGAAAAGAAAACGAGCACCGTTGTTTGTCACTTTCATGATCGATGTTTTGGTCTTCACATAGTCGTCCGTGACTTCTATACGCACAACAGACTAACTTTAAGGGCCGCCTTCGGTGACTTGCGGTCGTGCACGACAGGATCCTGTGCTTTTATCCCCCGCCCCCCCCGGAAAGCTCTGCTAAATGGCAATGTTCCCTCTTTGTAGTCGGCTCCTGTCCCTGCGCAGACTGTGTGGACTGACGCTCACACACTCCCATTAAACACATCGTCTCAAACTTAATTTCAGCTCAAAGATCTGTTGACTGATTTGCAGACCAGACTTAATGGCTCGTACACAGAGGCTCTCAGACAGAATGAGGAGCTGACTTTGGTAAGCACTGCTCCCCCTCTAGCTAGAGCTCCTGTTTTTAAACCTTTCCCTTAATGCACCCGGCCTGCAACACGGGCTCCCTGTCTTCTGCTTGTGCGGGTCGTCATCTTTAACCTCTAAGGAACTTACCCAGCCCGTAACCTCTCATCTTATGAGCTAGAACACAAGAGGGGGAAAGTGAACTCGCCTTTGCCCTCTGGGATACTTGCACAACTAACTCTTCCTTCTCTACACTGGGAGTTTACTGTATCTAACAAAAGGGTTTCTAGTCAACTTCCTTCTGCAGTCCAAAGAAATGCTTCATTTTGTCCATCTTCTGCTATAATTTCACTGCACACTCCTTTGTCTCGGGCCTTTGCCTTGCCATGATGCCACTGGACAATTTTCTGCGGTGTTTGTGAAGTGTTAGTTGTCTGTAGTTATTGAAAATAAATTGGCTGCGTTCAGACCAACAAGAGCTCGATCATAAATGTAGCCTTCTGATTAATTACAGGAAAAAAAGGAACTGATCCGTCTGAAATGCCTTGAAACACAAATGTCTTTCTCAAAACTTTTTTAGAAACATGCAAAAACAAAAGGTTGAGCACTTGAATGTATACGTTTGAAAGAACACTTCACCCCGAAATCAAAAGGTTTGCTCCTGCCGGTAGTGCTATCTGTCCTATTTCTTATCTTGGGTGAGTTCTTTATTTCTGGAGATGTCTGTCTTCTTTTACATCTACTGGAACTGTTTGATCCTCGAATTGTTGTTTAAATACTGTCACTTTCCAGAAATCCTGACTCAGTTACTACTTATTTATAGCTTCCCAGACCTTGTTGATACTGCCCACAATGATCCATGTCTTTCTGGTTTGGGGGTGACCTGTCACTTTCATTTTGACCGGAAGCTTTAAATACAGGGTATTTTTGCTTTTAGAGTATGTGCTAATTGTCTTTCTTTTTTTTTTTCATTCTTTTTTTTTCAATGATTGATTCCAGCTGAAAAGCAAGCTCACCAAGACTCTGTCCAAGCTGGAGACGGAAGAGAATGAGAGGCAAAAGGTAGCTGGTGACCTGTATACGGTAAGAATACTTGTTTATATCTTATACAACTGCTAATAAGGGTCCCACTGCAGGTTATTCAGGTCATCTATGTGGTCCCCCCCCCCCCCTTCAGGCCCAGCAGTCTCTTGATCTGATCCAGGGCGAGCTCTCGAAAGTGACGGACAACACCGGTGGCCTGATAGAGAACAGCAGCCTGTCGTCACAGCGAGTAAGCGTCCGAGGCGCGTGTCCCTGCGCGTGTGCTGACCCGGTGGTTGCACTCAGCCCTAAAGCGTCCATTCTGTCTCCCACAGGACGAGATTGACAGAAAGGAGAAGGTGACCGCGGGACTGAATCAAACGGTCAAAGAACTGCAGCAGCTGCTACAAGGCGTCAGCCAGCAACTCGCCAAGAGACAGGAAGTGGTAAGGCCGGTTCCTGAGCTCTTACCCCCCCCACCCCTCCAACCCCCAAAACAACGTGGTGTCAGGTTTTTAAATGTGGAGTCTTAACTGTAAACCTGTTGTGCTTTCTTCCAGGAGGCCGACAAAGATCTGCCCAAAGTATAGTGAGAGGAAGACCGACCCCCCTCCCCCCCCAGCTCCTCCCTCCCCTCCGCAGCCGCCCTGACTGCACTACAGAGACCGCCTTTGAGCTTTTTGGTCTCATCACTACCGCCGTCACACAAACAGCCAACCTCCCTCCCCCCGTCACCTCCCCCGTACGAGAGGCGGCCGCCCGAACAACCGGCCCACCGCTCGTAGTCCCATCGTCGGCCGTGAGGTTACTGGTCACTGTTAGTTCCAAACACTCCAGACACTGTACCAAATCACACTACTCCACTCCCACCACATTCCTCTTTTTCAGCAGCATCGCCAGTTAATTTTATTCTTAACTTAAAAGTGACATCCAGTATGATTTTTAAACTGTGTGGCAACCATTCCTCTGTTTAAAACACCTGTATTTTCAATGAGATTCTTTTGAATACTACAGTAGTATTTGTAGTTATTTGTCAATAGAGGGCGGTGATACAAATTTCCACGTCGTTGAATCAAACTTTGGGGTTTTCAGTCCTTTCTTTCTTAACTTAAAGATATGTATTGTTTCCATGTATCATTTAGGACCTGCTGAAATACACTGTTGTTGCTCTGTTTGCCTCCTGACCAAAGCTCTCAAACTGTGGATCATTGTGCAGTCATGATTTCATTGCTCCGTGCACCTTTGGGCTCAGTATTTGGGTGGGAGGGGATCAAAAGGGGTCTCGGCTTATCAGACGGGTCACTACGTGACTGACGATGGAGACGCATGGACATGTTTTATTCAAGTCCGTACTGCAGCTCCAGAGAGAAGCGAGCTTATGACCCTGGCTGTTGGAAGAGAAGGCCAGGTCATCAGTGTAGAGGTTTTAATCCTTCTGCACCTACTCTAGGAATAAGTGTCCCGTATCATTTGTAATCAACACTCGCTATATTGTTGCTAAGTTCATTAACACTGACGATTTTGTTCTTTTTGTAACCGGCGATGTTAATAAAAGGGATGCTTACTGAACTTGACCATCTGAGTGTTCTAATCTTTGTCCTGTGCTGCACTTCTCTCTCCCTACCACTGTGGGGCAGCATGCAACCTTAAAAACTCCGGACAACTACAACCTTCTGCCGACTTCCCTGTACACAATAAACGGGTTTGTCACGTGACAAAAGCTTTTGTGACTCTACTGTAGTGTTTGTCAAATACAGGTTGTGTATTACTGCACCTAAGTCGACTTCTGGTATCTGTGCAGAAAGCCCTTGCTCTCCTCTTTTGCATGTTAAAAGGACCTTTGAAACAACAGGACTGTTGTGCTGGCTGTGGGGGGCGGTGGGGGGTGTTGTTCAGGTCAAAGGCTGAGCAACATGGCATCAGCACATTCCTCCCATTCTCCCACACCGTCATGCTACAGTCAGCTGATTGGAGAGCTGGCTTTTACCCTCATGGAAGCCTCGCGACAAACTGCCACCTCGGTCAACAAACACTCGTCGTTAAGTGACGTGCGTGTGTGTGTTTGTACACACGCCGTCCTCTGTAATGTAGCTGATTCCAAATATACATACGCTTGAATGTCTTTTACACTATTATTACATGTCATTTAGCTGACTTTTATCCAAAGCGAATAAGTGTATTTCCACCATTAAGGATACAAACGACAAAGGGAAATTTCATCAAATAAGCCAATTTACAGCTTGCTTCCGATTAGAGCCATTATAAGTACAATTAAATAGCAATACATTCCATTACATGATCTCTAAAGTGTCATATTCATGATGATGAAATACAGTTCTGTCACTTTTTTATCTTGTGTCTCTCACTTCTCAGAATATCCTGTCATCCTATGTGCGTAAATGACAAAAGATTTAAAAGTTTTTGGGGGGGGGGGGGGGGGAGAAGCAGCACTAAATCTGCCCGAGGTTACACTTTCTCGAAGCCTCGTGACTTCCATAGGAAGCCTGACGTGTGAAGCCTGGCAGAGAGCGCTGAGGAAGTTAACAGGGGCTTTGTTTTCCCTATGTCATCATTGCACACCCTCTTGATCTCAATTGTGCAACAACCATTGTTGCAGTAGTCCTCTGCTCTTCTTGCCTGGTAACATTTAACTTCTCCTAAACATTTAGTCTACGCCAGCACAACTTCAGCAAAGGAGCCCACTCCCTGCATCTGCTCTCCATCAGTGTGGTATGTGCTAAAAGGCCTTTGATCCCCCCCCACCCGCCCCAACTCTTCTGTGTGCCCATGTGCATACGGGTGAGTCGGACATAAAAAAGACTGCAGGGCTTGTTTATACCAACAATGCCTGTGAATGAAAGCAAGTAGAAAGACGGTGATACAAAAGAGCAGTAAACATCCATTATACCCAGCAGCTTTAAGTCGAGCCTCCGGGCCTGTAGTTAGAGGCCTAAGGCAGCTTGATCCTTGTGCACGACTGCTGAAGGAGCTGAAGTTAAGTCCTCTGCACTATTATTGGACAAATATGCACAGCCGTGAACAGAACCAGAATCAGAGTTGTGAAGCTTACCAAAATGGAATAACACATCAATGAATCTTCTTTGTTCTGCAGAAGTGCAGTAAATATGGGTGGGGAGGACGTAGCAGCCTTCCTTCATTGGGCCCCAATGACCCCCGACTACGTTTTGTTTTTGTGTCAGGTGATATTGCTCTTTGAAACTGAACACCAGTTCAAACAGGAGGCCATAATTGCACAAGCAATGGGACCACTGGAGGGGCCTGAAGCAGTAAAGGCCCCTCCTGCCATGAATCTTCTTGTGAAAACAAGACAGAGGCAGTAAAATGTTGATGAGAAGCCCAGACAAAGAGTAGATGTGGCACATTCATCGGAAAGGCGTGAGAACAACTGGACTTGTGGGACATTGGAACGTTGAGAGGTTCATGACATCCTCTCATGAGGCGTTGACATTTGGCCACGTGAGCCATTTAGCGAGTCATTCTCCGAAGAAGCTATTAAGCAGATTACTGGGCCATGGTGGTATTATTAGACTGATTTGCATCTTCTCACATGGAGCCAGGTGAATAATAAGATATTAACGAGAGAAATCAGCATATACCTGTAGGCCAGCAACCAACAGAAAGAAAGATCAGAATAGAAAGCTAGACAACCATGAAATGATAAAAATGAGCAATAGCAATTCAGAAAATAAAACTCCCAGGCATACAGACATCATTATCTTTCACAAACAATCACATGCATTAGCCAACTGAAATAAAGTCATAATCCAATAAAGTTCTTGAAAGGGCCCAGGGGGTCAACAATAAAATAAGCCAACCTGATTTCCCTGTCCTTTAACTCTCCACATGATATCACAATCAGAAAATGTACCAGGAAGATTATTTTCCATTTTTGCCCAACCCTCTGTGGGCTCACATAGGCCTATGTAACTTTTTTACAAAAGCGGTCATTTCGAATAAAACAATGTGATCCTCGATACATTTTTGCTGAAAAAGAAGCTGTTCAAATGATGCAACTATTTAATAGATAGTATGACGAAAATATGTGTTAACCTTCATTCTCGTTAGATATGAAATACGGGAAACTCCACACACGCACGCACACACACACACACACACACACACACACACACACACACACACACACACACACACACACACACACACACACAAAAAGTAGTGATCCTTTAAGAATGCCCAGATTGTACTCTTTGTTTACATAACACAGAGTGCGATCCATGGATACTGTGAGGTGACAACAATGGGGACATTTTGCTCCGAGTACGATAACATTTACACCCAACAATAACATATACAAAGAGTACCTTCCCCTAATAGAATTAGGTACTTTTATAACCTCACACTGCCCACTCGGGTCAAAAACACAATTTTGAACAAATATTTGTCACGGCGTCCCCCCCTCCACAAAGTGGAGAAGTAGCGAATGGTACATTCCGGCCCTGCTCCTCGCTGTGTGTGTGTTGTCGCTTCCGAGCGGATTCAACCGCCAAGTAAGTTACATATTTTTTTCGCCATGTCACGCTAAAGTAGTTTTTAGACCAGTTTATTTTGATAGAAACCCGCATTTGCGAGACACGCGCCGCTGGATACAGCTCCTGAAATGAGAGCCCGTCGTGTTTTTCTTTAGGAGATACGTGGTTTTTTGTTGTTGCGGGAGAGCTAATGTTGGTCAGTGAAGCCCGGAGCCTCATGTTTTCCTCGGGCCAGGAGGAGCACTGCGCCCCGTCCAAAGACCCGGTGCAGTACGGCGAGCTGGTGGTGCTCGGGTAAGTGTCATAATATCATTTATATATATATATAAATATCTGGGTGATAATATAACCGTATTAGAGTCCAGAGCTCCAGTGTTTTTTTTTAAATCATTTATCTCGGAGGAAGTTTCACAAGAGGGCAGCCGGTGACGTAGCGAGGTGAGCGTAAAGTCGGTAATATAACGTGTGAACTTTCTACTTTGTTTATTTTAGACAAACATCGACTTGTGTGCAGCGTGATCTTCTAGATTTAATCGGGGGATGAAAAGGAAACACATCGAGCCCTGTTGAGATTCACGAGATTCAAGATCAGACACGCGTGGAACCGAGAGAAGCGTTCATGAAACGTCTCCCGGGTCAGGCCCGGTCAAAAAAACCCAATCTAGCTACCGTTAGAACCCACCGCCCCCCCCTCCTCTTCTATTAAGATCCGGTGTAGGGCAACTCAAGTAACCCGGAACACAGCCGCTTTGACCGGGGCGCTCGTTCCGATCTTAAAAGTCAGGAATTCGGAAGTGGGTATGGGCCCCCCCTCCCTTCCCCTCCCCTCCCCTCCCACGGGGCCCCGGGGTTCCTCCTAGTGTCTCAACTGTCTGTAGCTGTGGCTCGCACGCATCCACGCTTTTCCAGCGCGCATGCACTTACAAGGCCATGGTTTGAACCACTTGCACGATGCCGGAACTGATCCAAAGACCACCGAGGCGTCCAAATAGTTTAATGTCCCACGTCACGTGGTCAGGTAGTAAAGGACAGCAGCACGGAGGGGAGGGGGGGGGGGGGGGTATGGATGATCCTTTAAAATCACCACATCCATGGGAATCTTTACATCATAATAAAAGGTAAACGTGGAGTACCTGGAAGGAAACAACCTAGTCGTTCTTATCTGAGGCAGCAAATGATACACTAGAACACTTTTATAATACAATAATAATAGTTGCTGATTGATTTAATTATTTGTTTCAAACATGCTGCGTAAGACAATGTGTCGCCAGAAAGGGAGCTCTGTATGAACACTGGTTAGAAAGTTTGTTTTTATATATATATATATATAGAGAGAGAGAGAGAGATTACTTGTCTGCAGGCTTGTGTTTGAAGCACATGAAATGAAACCCATATAAAGGTTGTACACACAGATCATAGTCGTGTGCTTTGGTGCTTTGCCCTCCACACAAACCCTCACGGCCACACTGCTTATTACAGGCGACAAAAAGCGCTGACTGCTTATTACCCTCCGGGCTGAGCACATGGCATGTTTGCAGCGGATGCTTTTGTTCCCCCCCCCCACCTCCTCCCCCTCCTCCCCGGCATAAAGACACGTATTTGAATCAGACGTGTCGGGTGTGTAATCACTGCAATGACATCACACCCCACTGATAAAACTGATGGTAGACAAGATGGCTGATGGCGTGGAGCAACGTTTGTTTTAGCGGCCCTTCCCTCGGCGCTTTGTTGCCGTGAGCCTGGTGGCTTTTATTACTTGCATGGATGCCCCCCCCCCACACACACACACACATTCCCATGTCTGCCCGGACAGATTGGCCTGGTGCTGGTCAGTGAGAAGGGGGTGTATCCTGGAACTCAAAGGACGGATTGATCGGGACTCGGCCTTCGCCTCCTCTCAGCTTCCTCTGTCCATTGTGACTGGGAGACTGGGCCCTTTGATGGAACTTTGTACATTTCTCCCTGAAGAGCCCCCCCTTTGTAAAGGAAGTATACAAATCAACCTGAGACATCTCTGGTTTAAAAAAAACAACAACAACCAAAAACTCAGACACCGATTCTTGGTGGCTTTTTTTAAATGTTGTATTTTTAGAAATTCCTTTCATCCCAGAAAGAGAGGACGCCTCCTTTTGCCGTCCTCTGCTCTGCAACAGGGTCCTGGTGCAGACGATGTGGCGTTGGTGTCTTGTGTCGGGTTATACCGGTCAGATTAAATCTGATGACTGATGCTCTTCTCGCTCACCGTGTGCCATCTGGCTGCCTCCCACGTGCTGGTGATGTGCTGTTGATGCCGTTTTAAATTGACCTCTCTGAGGCACTAATAGCCTGCGGTCCTGCGTTGAGGCGTCAACTTGCCAATGGGCCGTCCTCTTTGACCCCCCCTCCCACCGGCCCTCTCCTCCTGTGAACGCATCGCCTTCCATTTAGTGTCAGAGGTAGGAGGTGCTGTCGGCCCGGGACGACGGGTGACGTGACGGAGTTTTCTAATCCCGGCTCCTAAATGTTGGAGGGTAAATCCGCTGCCTGTCTGGCGCAGGTGAAAAGGTCGGCTTTGAAAGTCCTGTGGCAGCTAATGTGACGGTGGTGGTTCCTAAACACCAGAATCTTTTTCCTCGATGTAATAGACGGCGTGATTATTGGGAGTATATTCTGATGGCGGGAAGTCATCACGCAGAAATTACAAACTGAATATCATCTTATTGTGTGTTGTATATGTGTGTATTCCACTTAAACACACATGCCTAGCTGCACTTTTTTTGGGGGGGGCGCTTGAGTTTCTAGGGCAGGTTGAATAAGCACAGTCAGGATGGAGTTAGTTCAACTTCAAGTGCATATATAATTAATACATCATCAGTGTTCCTTATCAAGACTGATTTGGACCATTTGATGTGTGTTCTTTCCCCTCTAATCATTTTTATCAACCACAATTATCAATCAACCCTAGATTTACAAACACTAACGCGGTCACTCATCCACCATCGTTTGTTCGTTTCCCTCCTGTGTTTGCCGTAATCTTGTCCACCGTATCATTCACCCCCCCCTCCGGACCATGTGCTTCCATGCCCGGCCAGCCGCGAGGAGACACGGGACGGGTGGACCGCTGGTGTCCCACCGTTGCTTCTGTGTCGCCACACCGGATTGCAGATCACGCAGCGGTTTTGAAGAGCTCGCTCCCCCCCACCCCGTGATGTGCGCAGTGATGCAAAAGCGTGAGGCCGTTGCTGGCGATGTTTGCGTCAAACCAAGTGTCTGCGCGGTGCAGCGTTGTGAGGCAGAAGGTCCGTGTGTTGGACGGGAGCGGAGCATGGGGCGTCCCAGCTGTAGGAACCAGCTGGTGGATGGGGAGAGGAGCTGACCGCAAACGGGGGATTCTTTCCTGCTGACCCAAGGGTTTCATATATATATAATAATTTATATATATATATATATGCTTCACAAAACACAGAAATGCTTGTAATTATCCTCATTTACTCGTGTGATAACAATAATTCAACCTTTTAAGTCCCATCGGACAGGTGTGATGGCCACAAATGACCGGTTCTCTTTCCAAAAAATGTTGTGGTGCTAATTGGCTGCCCCCCCCCCCCCTTTTCTTGTGACAGGTACAACGGCTCCCTCCCCAATGGGGACCGGGGTAGACGGAAAAGCCGCTTCGCCCTGTACAGGAGGACCAAAGCCAACGGCGTGAAGCCGAGCACTGTGCACATCCTCAACACGCCGCAGGCCAGCAAGGTAACTCACAGGACCCCCTGGGTCCGTATGGTCATTGAGCTCAGCGGCTTTAAAAGGTACAAGAATGACAGCTGAGGAAAAATCTCATTGGGGGGAGAAAAAAAACCGAGAGATTCCTTTGTTTCTTTCTTACAGTGATTTCAGTAGCCCCAGCGAGCTGCGTTGCATTGTTGTTGGCAGCCCCCTCCCTCCCTCCCCCGTATGTTGACCTTTCCGGTACAATAACTGTAGTTCCTACCGGGGCCCCCTTAGCTTTCCTTTCCTGCAACAAAGTTCCTGCCAGAAACCGCCTGGTCCAGTATAACGCGTCGGCATTCCTGCCCTTTAGGTTCCCAAGCAGAACCGGCAGCCAGAGGAACCGCTTACCTCTGCGCCTCGCCAAGGCCGCACATATTTGTTTGGAGTGGCGAGCGCTCCGAAATGTAACTTCTTTTATAGCCGGGCGAACAGGTGGAGGCCCGCGGCGCCGAGGCCCAGTTGCAGCGTTGCGTTTGTTCCCGTCTGTCGGCGGCGTCACGGCGGAGCGCCGATGACCCACTTCCCCGCTCGCTCTCGTTTTAGGAAATGGAAGTTGGAGATTAGAGCATGATGATACTAGCACATGTGGCGTCCCCCCCCCCCCTTCATCCTGTGCCTGGCGAGCTTGTGTTAAGGGAGGCCAGGGGGCCGTTTAAGGTCACCGTCGTGGGGGGTGTGACTTTCCATGCTCCCTCCCCCCTTTTCCTCCGCCAGACATTCCTGCCACAGATCTGTGCTTGTAATAATATAAATAATTTATTTCTTCCTATGAAAAGCCACTTCTAGTCCATCGCAATAAAACGCCTGGCGGTGGAAAGGAACACGAGGAAATGGTCTCTCCCAACAAGCGCTGCAGTCTTCTGACTCTCGGGGACACGACTCTGTCTGTTCGTTTCAATAGCGAGGGTTTGTTCTGCGCTGATCTGTGGTTTGACCCTCAGCGGCTTGTTTGTGAAAAGGGTTTCTGCTGACTTGACTGTCGGGATACATGTTTGTTGTGTTTGTTGTTAACGAGTTGGTTGTCGTGTTCCAGGCGGTGAACTGCAAAGGCCAACACAGCATCTCCTACACGCTGTCCAGGAACCACACGGTGGTGGTGGAGTACTGCCACGACAAAGACACCGACATGTTTCAGGTACCAGCCCGTCTGTTGACACTGTTTCAGCTGGTGGTCCTCTGCTTCTTCTTCTTCTTCTGCTTTTTACTCTTCTTCTTCTTCTCCTCTGCGGCAGATCGGGCGATCCACAGAGAGCCCCATAGACTTCGTGGTGACGGACACAGTGGCGGGAGGCCAGGAGGGGGGGGAGGAGACCCCCATCACGCAGAGCACCATCTCCCGCTTCGCCTGCCGAGTCGTCTGCGAGCGCGACCCGCCCTACACGGCGCGCATCTACGCTGCGGGTTTCGACTCCTCCAAAAACATCTTCCTCGGGGTGAGTGCCGCACTCTGATCCCATGAAGGGAAAACCTTTCGCCGCGTCACTTCACCTCTGTGCTCCCGTCTCGCCCCCCCCTCCTCCTCCCCCGCAGGAGAAGGCGGCCAAGTGGAAGAACCCCGACGGCCACATGGACGGCCTGACGACCAACGGCGTGCTGGTGATGCACCCCAGGGGCGGCTTCACGGAGGAGTCGAAGCCCGGCGTCTGGCGAGAGATCTCCGTCTGCGGGGACGTCTACACGCTGAGGGAGACCCGCTCGGCGCAGACCCCCGGCAAACTGGTCAGTAGCCCCGCGAGCACGCGGCGCGGCGGTGAGCACCGCGCTCCCGCCTGATGCTAAATGCCCCTCCCCTTCCCCCTCCTCTCTCGCAGGTGGAGCACGAGAACAACGTGCTGCAGGACGGCTCCCTGGTGGACCTGTGCGGGGCCACGTTGCTGTGGCGCACCGCCGAGGGCCTCTTCCACACGCCCACCCAGAAGCACCTGGAGGCCCTGCGGCAGGAGATCAACGCGGCGCGGCCGCAGTGCCCCGTGGGCCTCAACACGCTGGCCTTCCCCAGCATGCAGCGCAGCCGCGCCCTCTCCTCGCTGGAGGACAAGCAGCCGTGGGTCTACCTGGCCTGCGGCCACGTGCACGGCCACCACAACTGGGGCCACCGCTCGGAGCAGGAGCGCAAATGACCCTCGGGGACTTTCCATGTGCTGTGTTAACGGCCCATAGTGGCGTCCACAGCTGTGCTTCGACCTGATTTTCTATGTGGTCCCGGAGGCGCTCACCTCCTCTTACGTTCTGTGCGAGAAAGTATGCTCGGAGTAGTTCGTCAAGTACTAGGCCGAGATCCCCTTGCCCCACGGCACCCACGCCTTCCACGCCGCTTGCCCTTTCTGCGCCACCCAGTTGGGCCTCACCCAGGGCTGCTCCAAGTTGATCTTCCAGGGCCCGGTGGACTGAGCCCCGGGGTGGGGGGGGTGGGGGGTGAGGGGGGTCCTGCTCAGGCCGGAATGCCAACACGCTGTGAAACTGTTGCGATTATTTTGTGCTTTCCTCTTGTTCATGTAAGCCAGCTGTGCACGGGGGCCCCGTGCGGCTATTTGGGGGCCCCGTGGGAAACGCACGGGAAGCACACCGGACCACAGATGCCTTGAACCGCTTCACAGAGGGGAGTTAAGGTTGTTGGTGGAATGAATTGAGAAAGATTTAAACATTTTCACGGAGCCCGACAGCTGGACTGTCGGCCCGGAGCAACTGTGGTGTCTAATGGCTACGTGCTACGTGCTCCCCGTCATCATTTAGTTCTCCGGATTTGAGCTTCCATTCGCTGAACAAACTTTGACAAGGGGGGGGGGGGACTTAATGTACAGAGATATAATCCAGTGCCTCAAATCCCATTAAGCGGTGGGAATATTTTTTAATAAATGGGAATAGATGGTGTTGCATACGTAGGACAAATGCCGGACGGATCCTTGAGCACATTTCTATCTGACAGAAGACGTATTTTACTACACTGAGGCCCTTGTGCGGTTTTGTAATGCAAATGTTAATATATTTTTCCTCTGCTTAAATAACGTGTGAGGATGCTAGAGAAAGTGTGTGTGTGTGCATGAGTGTCTATGAGGGTTGGACTGAGTGGGGACCCGTCGGGCTTTTTGTATTGAATGGCCCTGCTCACCCCGATTTTTTTATTTTTATTTTTGCAATGATGTCGCCCGCCATCCCAAACACTACCGAGAAGAACCGCCAGTGTGCCGAAGCGCGCCGGCTCTCCTCGCCGGGTTCCACTTTAATCACACGGCTTCCTTTCTCATCGCCGCGGCCCGTTGGCAGCAGTGATGAGCGCCGCTGTACCGCACGCATCAGCAGCACCTGCTACCCAGCGAGCTAGCCGCACCCCCCCCACACACACACGTACTGTATTCAATCTGCACTGTTGTTAGCTTTATCCCATGCTGGGTCTGATCCAATGATTCGTACGCTCTTAAACCTGGGCACAGTCACAGCGGCGGGCGTGAGATTATACCAAATATAAGGAGTGGTTTTCTTTTTTTTTTTTTGTTCTCCACATGCAAGATGTAACGACCCCCCCCCCCCCCCCCCCCCTCCTTCTTCTCCCGATCCAAAGTGTTTCTGTAAACAATCCTAAACCCAAACTGCTGCTATGGTGGAATGTTGACAGCTCTGGATTACAGTCGAGGCTGTTCGGCTGCTCGAAACCAGCTCCAGGGGAATAATGATATTATCGCCCGGCGCGCCAACCTCGGTAAGTTCCCTTGTGTGGATGAGTCAAGTTGTCCGAAAAAACAAAACAATGTAGCAGATCATTTGAAACTAAAGAATCTGGGACAAAGTTGTGCATTCTTCTGTGATGTCAGCTTACCAGACTGTGCCCATGTGCGCGGTGTAGTTGGACACATTCAATCCGCCCCTTTTTTTATTGTACATCCAGAACAATATGGAGCATTGAAATCAGGAAACGGTGAAGTGCATTCACATTTTCCTCAGGTTGCATTAGGACGGATAGAATCAACCGAGGGCTCGGTGAAGTCCCAAGAGACACCCGCACACTACCAGTGGTGGATCCCAACGTTACTGCCGAGCCGCCGGGGGGGGGGGGGGGGGGGGTCACCCTTAAAACCCCCTACCGGGCGGGGAGACATTCCCTCCCCCACACTTAAAGGGGGGGTCGTGGAGGAGCCGCCCAAGAACCGCCCATAACATTCTCTCCTCGGTAAACATGGGTGGGGCTCTCTTGTTCCATGACTCTTGTCTGTTCACAAGCCATAGAACACACTGAAGCTCCCAATGCCGCCTTTGCAATGAATAAAATGTTCTTTTTAAAGAAATGTCTGTGAGTGAGTTTTTCTTTCTAATTTGAGGCCTTTTGTCAATGTGGTGAGGTCGGGTTGTGGGTTATTGATTCGGTTGTACTGAAAACACTATGTTCAGATGTTTATGGAGCTACTTTTAGGGTAGAGGCCTCTGTCTTTGAGCTGCAGACGTCTCCGCTGTGTATCACAACACGGCACTGATGTGTGATCACAGTTACATGCGTGTTTCATCATGCCTCAGTGTGAGCGTGCCCCTGCTATCTGCAGTTTGATAGCTCCATCAAACACATTGTTTTATGAGATAAGGGACATATTTTTCTTGAAGTCTGTTTTTATTTCATGTTTTCACGTTACATCTTATCAGCGTCATCTTAATATGTACCATAACAAATTACAGAATTAGCAACCTTTGCCGGTGATCAGGGCTGAGTCTAGTTTCCGTGTGAAGCCACAAGAGGGCACTATTTCCTCATCAATGGCGAGGTTGGCACCACGGCCTCCAAACCGCTGAGCCTGCGGCACTGAATGGCCAAAAACACAGCAGAGAAGTGCAAGTTTGATGTTTGTGAGGAAAAAGACAAAGTATAAATACATTACAAAGATATTTAAAGCAAGACAAATTTAATTGGCTTCGTTCACATGACCATACATGGCTGACAATCCTTTCGCCACCACAAGAGACATTTAGGCTATGCCAATTTGGCATTTACTGACTTCTTTATCATTCCATGTGTCATTATTTTTCAGTTTTTATTTTAATTTTATTTTTTTAGTTTAAAACACTGCATGATACATAAGACATGGCTGACAAATATACACAGTAGTGAGTCATTTTTAGCTTTTATTTTTATGTGCATGCAAAAATATTGTACGCCGGTGATGATGATGATGACATTTTCCATCATTCGCTCCTCTATAATAAGGGCACATGAAAGGGATTTAAATACATAAGATGTCAGTTCGGCGTCTGGAGAGGACCGGAGCAGTGGGATGCCATGCTTCCTAATTAACATTGCTGCAGTAGATGTGAGATGGGTTCATGTCTGCCTGTTTTTCTGAATGACAGAAGAGTCTCTGAAGGTGACAGCATGCAAATTCTGAGATCACTCGGTGACTCCCCTGCCTTTAAGCGGGGCAGGGTTATGCAAATAAAGTGGAATGCTACAATATTTTTTTTTCTTGAACCAGCTTCCCGGATGAGAAAGTAGAAAAAGGTTCATGTGCAATAGTGACGCTGCTATTTGTAACAGACAGAAATCTAAAACCTATTTAAACCTAATTCTCTTTTAGCACTTTTCGCAGCCGCGCAACTCAATTTTACAGGATCAATCATGTTAGCTGCATCAGTTGCATTACAGTTTTGTTAAAAAGGTCTCCTTGGGATAAGTAACAAACCCTTTTATTATTATTCAGCCTGATAATGTAATGGAATAAGTGAAGTCCTGAGAGACAGTAGGTCAATGGATTATAAACTATCTATATTAAAGGGAGACCCAAGCATTTCAGTATTGTGATTCCATAAAGTTGAGGTAATCCCAAGAGAAGGATGAAAAATATCGAATGGGAATACTCCGTTTCTAATTACACTCAGCATTTGAAATATCAATCAAAGAAGAGTATACATTTAAAAAAGATTTAGGTTTTCCCTGACAACAGCTCTGTGCGTCTCCTCATCCTGAGAGCGAACAGGTGTCAGTAAACTGACACCTGTAAGACACCTTCACATGGCAAGTTGATGCCTGCAGTATTCAGCCCGGTTACCCAGCATGCAACTGAGGCCCATTATGTGCAGATCCCCATTGATAAATAAGAGATGGTACTCATCCCTAATAACCCTCAACTCTGGTTCTAAAAGCTGACGATCATCTAAAATCTCTCTATTGAATCAGACTGCGGTGGTGAAGGACACTGGCCGATGTTGTTGATGTCTCATTGTTTCTGCCTCGTGTTGTTAGTCCCTGTTTGTGATGGAGACCACCAACAACCGCGCTGGTACGCTGTAAATCAGGCCCACCTTTCTTTATCCGGGCCCAAACACCTCACACAGGAATCTCACTTATAATTCATGCAATTCCATCTCATCAAACAAAAGCGTCACTTTTTCAGGGGTGTTTTTTTTTTTCTTCTTCTTTTTAGCTTTCAGCAGGCATCGCGGCGCCGGCATAATACACTATTCGGTGCTGTATGCAGTGCAGTTTGAAGAGGATTACGGTTATATCAGGCCTATTGACTATTTCATGTGGCTCTTGATGATACTTTGTACTCGGCCTTACTCATCTTATTACTTTCTTCAATGAATAACAAATGAGTTGTCAAATAAAAGGCAAATAAACACCAGCTGAAGAGAAGCTGGATCAAATATTTTATTAGAACGTATGAGAGGGGAAAGAGGTTTGGAGAATTCGGCATTGCGTTCCAACGGTACGAGCGTTCCTCCCCGTGTGCGTCCCACCCAAACAAGAGGACAAATTACTTCAGTAACTGCAGAGTCATGTGTTAATTAAATATGAATCAGTTCATGTAAGTGGGTTTCTGCCCCCGTGGAAAGCACGCAGCCTTTGCTCAGCCCCCCCCCTTGCACTGTCTAGATTCTCCACCAACACCACAGTCTGAAACCAAATGTATTCCCAGCCCCCCCTCTTTCACCCCTCTCTCACCCCTGGGTCTCCAAATGATTGGGATTAGCATCATTTGGAGAAAGGGGGGGGGTGTTTTACCAACTCTGTCAGTCGCCAGCTGTTTTCTTCAAAATACCACAACAAACATGATAGCGGCGGCGTGAGGCGGTGTCCTCCGCTGGAAAATGAGATAGAAGATTTATCTCAGGTTCCCGGTGTTTGGCAAAATTGAATCCTCTCATTTTAATTGCTCTCGACTAGGTGTGCTGCTCCGGGCGATGGGAACAGGAGCTCCGCGTGCTCTGTCCCCTTGTTCTCTTCAGACCATTATGTTCCCATTGTGCAAAATGCCGATTATGGTTTGCTTTATCCTTGTCATCTATCTTGTTTAGGATCATTTAGGTAGCCACATGTTTCAAAGGAACAGCAGCCGGCCCTGTTATTACGTGTGTTTGACTTCCCTGCGTCTTGTAATGAGAACGGGATCACAGGGAGGAATTAATCCCTCTGAAGACTCACTCACAGGCGAAAATGGAGGAAAATTGACTTCTTTTGTTGATTTCCGTCGGTCCGGTTGATCCAAGGTTTGGAGAATTAATACGAACGCTTGGCATGTGTCTTTGCAGCTTTCGCTTTGCCAGTTTTCACACAGAATATTGGGCCCTGACAGGGGTGACGGGAAGTAATGAGTCTCCACAGTGACTTCAATTAAGTATCAACGGTTTCACATTGTGCCTTAAATAAAAGTGTTGCGATATCACTTATGGTTTTTAACCTTTTTAAGGGTTGGAAAACGTTTCTTTTTGCAGAGCCTGCACCCATGCACATACCAATACGTGATCTTTTAACACCTGCAATATGTGAATGTTGACACTACTGTTTAGCAGTGTGAATGTTTATGGGACTTGGGATGTAATTGGTGTAATGTGGCTGTGAAGCAGATTCAAAGGGCTTAACTGGATTACAACTCATTTCAAGGATGCTTAAAGTAAGATTAAAACAGATATGTGGTAAGTGAGGAAAATACAAAATCAAATTGATTGAATTTCACTCACTGGTCTCGTACGCCACTCTCTCATGCGTGGCTTTCCTGTGTGCTTTTGTGAGGCACTGAGCTAAAAAATCAGGTGGCTTTCTATGTGAGACAATATGTAGATTGTTAGTATGGGAAAACAAAAAAGCTTCAGCGAAGGAAACATACGGACATTTTAAACAACAGTTTTGCTCTGCTGGACCATCACAATTCACCATTAATGCCCTTTCTTATCTCATGCTAAAAATCCCCAGAGCTGGAACATTAGAAGCCTCTAATCACACACACTGGCACACATTGAGTGCGTGTTCATACACTTTAACACACACACACACGCACACACACGTCACATAGGAAACATAAAGAATTTAATACCACAGCTATTACAGTCAACTAATGTTTGTTAATAGCCTGGTGCCATATGGAACGAGGGCCTCAAACCATGTGGGTAATTCCTCTTTTTGGACGAGCTGTCAATAAAAAGGCCTTGCATTTTGTGGCTGCATGTGTTAGAGAGGGGGGGGGGGGGGGCTGGAATATGTGCTTAATCCAGCAGACTCTCTAATGAATTCCCGGTGACTGGAATGGGAGCCTCGGGCCTCTGTGAATATCGCTCCTATCGGCGCTGTAATGTGTGTTCACATTAACGCTCCTCGGAGTCTTTGTCACTGCATGGGCTGTTCAGTTTGCCCGGGTGCAAGACTTTGGTTGTGACGGGGGGGGCTAATGGAAGTGGTGGTTTTCGCAAGAAAACTTTACTACACCACCCCCATCCACCTCCCTCCCCGACCAACCCCCTCCTCTCCACCAGTGCCTCCGAAA